TGCAGTATTAATTGACATCCATGCTGTTTGTTTTCTTCCTACTATGGAAGTCAGTAGCTGTGTCCATCCCCAAAAACTTTGCACAAAACTGGAATATCCCCTAAAACCTTAGCTTTATATGTGTTATGATATATTACAGTTTTACGCATAAATCTGATTTGCATCTTTGGATGGAAGCACAGCTAGTGATGTGTGTGTGTGTGTGTGTGTGTGCTGCAGGTCAGCTGCTGGTCACGACCCCATTCTCTCTGCTCCGGCTGCTGGAGGCTCAGTGTTTCCTCTTCCTGCGTCTCTGTCACCTGGTTCTGGATGAGGCGGATCTGCTGTACTCGCAGGCTCCAGATCAGATCTCCATCATCCTGAAACACTTCCAGCAGCTGGTGTGTGCAGAGGAGCGGGTGGCGTGCCCACGGCAGATCATCGCTGTGGGTGGACGGTGGAGCGCGGGCATCGACGGGCTGGTGAGGGAACACATGATCCACCCGACCGTCATCATCACTGTCATGGAGGAGGCAGCGCTGTATGGCAGAGTTCACCAGGTCTACACACATACACACACACACATCACAAAACCGAATCAAAAATACATTATATATGTGGAGTCCAGCGGCTAGAATCAGCTGATGTAGCGTGATGGTGAGCAGCAGAGTTGTCAATCAAGTAGCCACACCCTTAGTTATGTAAAATTTTAAGGCTTATTATAAATTAAGCTAATGAGTTTTAAAAAAATTCACCCCCTCACAGCTGTCACTAAGGGTAATACTAGCTAAATATACCAAAACCATTTTTATTCCAGGCTGTAAACACGTTTGTTTCTGCTGTAAAGATGGCCATTTCAACATGGGAGTCGGTATAAATGTGCTCTGTTTTGGAGCAGCCCCCAGTGGCCAGTCAATGAACTGCAGTTTCATTTATTATTATTTATTTATTATTATTTAGTTTCATCTATTAGTTTCACAAGCGAGAGCGGGACTTTGCTGCTTGGAACACACTAACACACACGCTCCCATGTCTCTGTGCTCCACCAGAGGGTGCAGTTGTGTCTGGATTGCGATAAAGTCTCGGTTCTTCTCTCGTCGCTGGATTTCCAGCCGCCAAAACCGCAGAAAACTCTGATCATCACAAATTCTGCAGAGGAAACGGAGCACGTGTATAAGGTAGAGGGTTCCACCAATCACCAAATCAATAAAGTCCTGCTAGTTGTGACGTCACGCTGCTTTGTTTACTGCTGTAACCAAGGAAACGCAGTTAATCCTGCTGTTCAGTTGGCGCCCCCTGCTGGAAGAGAGTCAATTAGCATTTTTATTATTCCTGACTGATGTTTTAGTTTAGTGAGGAAAGATTTTTACATCTTATTTTAAATGATTCAGTCTATTTTACACATAAACATGCATTTGTTGGAGCAGTCGCATACTCATTTAATTATTTAGTTTCTTCTAGTTTTTAATAATCTTCATTTAAAATAAGTAATCGCATCTTTAATCTCTGTTCATAGATGATTGTGTTGACTTTTAAAGGTGTAGCTTGTAAACTTTACACCCAGTGGTTGAACTAGGTATTACATTCCTGCAGCAAAACAAAAGCAAGTGCAGGTTGCCAGATTGATTAGCCTAATATTGTGCTGTTTTTCATCGGGGTAGACTTAAAATCAGTATTTATTAAATATACTGCAATCACCATAACTGGTAATGAGGTCTTCAGATGTATTGAAAGAATCTTAAAAAGATCTCAAGTATTGAATTTAACTCTGATTTACTGAAATAACCATGTTGGCTTCTGCGTCCTCTGTATTTCCTACAATGCATCGTGTTTGTTTTTAAGGCGGTGGTAAACACTGCGGTCTTCACACTCAAAGCTCACGAGGACGCGACGGACCAGTTCGACTTCATCATTGATCAGTGGAGGAAGGACATCAGCCAGGGAACGCAAGTCATTCTGGGTCAGCATCTGAACTGAACACGGGCATCTCCTTGTGTCTCAGCGGCTCAACAGTGTTTTATTCCTCCTCCAGTGACCACCAATGACTGCCTGAAGGCCCTCGGCATCCGGGATGCCACCTGTGTGGTGCATTATGGGTTTCCCAGCACCCCGAAGCTGTTCGGCAGCCGCCTGTTCTGCATGTCGGAGAATTTCAGGAAGCTGTCAGACATGGTACCTGCTCTGCTTAACTCTGTCTTTAACCCTTGTGGGCTGTTGGGTCGTTTTCATCCACTTCTGAGTGTGTGTGTGTGTGTGTGTGTGTGTGTGTGTGTGTGTGTGTGTGTGTGTGTGTGTGTGTGTGCAGGATCACAGTGAGGACTGGACCCCCGGAGCTCAGTCTGTGCTGCTGCTGTCGGAGCAGAACGTCCGTCATGTGTGCGGTGTCCTGCGGTACCTGCGGAGAACCGGTGCTCTGCTGCCTCCGGAGCTGCTGCAGTTCGCTTTGGGCATCCAGCAGGCCAAGGAGGAGCAGAAGACGCACCGGCCGCTGTGCTGCTCGCTCAAGAGCTTCGGCTTCTGCAGGTCTCACTAACACACACACAGATCATGATTCTGGGTTCTCCAGTCCCTGAGGTGCAGCTCTGCATCTGGACTCGGTGGGCCCCATAGTGCAGCTCTGCTACTGGGCTCACTAGTCCCTGTGGTGCAGGTCTGTATTCACTTAGTGGGCCTCGTGGTGCAGCTCTTTGTCTGGACTTAGAGTTGAGTGGGAGCACTAGGATAAGTTTCCATGCTTTTATGTTTTGGTATAGTTTTTACACAATGAGTGAGTGTGTGTGTGTGTGTGTGTGTGTGTGTGTGTGTGTGTGTGTGTGTGTGTGTGTGTGTGTGTGTGTGTGTGTTTGCAGAGACAGCACAGTTTGTCCAGACAGACACACAATCAACACGTCTCTGGATCAGACGCAACTTCCCGACTCCGGGATGATCATGGTGAGCTGCTGGACCATAACACAAACATACACAGATTTAAAAACACAGACACAATCTCTGAGTTCAGTCATTTATGTAGCATGCGTGGACTAATGATCGCATGTTTGATTTAGAAATAAGTATTGGTGCACAAATATTATGGATTGTCATTAAATCAGGCAAATTTTGGATAATTTCAAGGGTGTTAAAAGCTTCCTTTTGTTGACGGCAGTTAATTTGCACTTGAAATGATCAGATCAGCGCATGGTTTGTGTTGTAGTGTATGAGGGAAAATAAGAATTGTGTCATTCATTCATTCTCCTTAAGCTTAGTCCCTTATTTATTCCATTCCATATGTTTAGCTATTCCAGCGGATGTTTTACACAGCGGATGCCCTTCCAGCTGCAACCCAGTACTGGGAAACACTCATTCACACACTCATACACTACAGCCAATGTAGTTGATCAGTTCCCCTATAGCGCATGTGTTTGGACTGTGGGGGAACTGCAGCGCCTGGAGGAAACCCACGCCAACACGAGGAGAACATAACGCCAAGTGGCCTAGCTGGGACTCAAACCAGTGACCTTCATGCTGTGAGGGGACAGTGCTAACCACTGAGCTACAGTGCCGCTCAGAATTGTGTCATATAACCTTAATAAATTCTGAGAGCTGTTTTGGTTTTGTTTGTAAATGTGGCGCGAAAGAAAATTTAAGGAAAGTAATTATTTTGATGGTCAGCATATATAAGGTTTGACACCAGGGCTGCACGATACTGGAAAAATATGCAGCTTTATTGTTGAGTATTGCAAAAACGATAGTACTTAACATATAACATTTCCCTAGAAGTCTTCCCTATTTTTATTCGATGTTTTTAAATAATTTATTTATCTATGATATAAAAATAAACAGATATTTTTTCTGATTTAATGAATTCTAATTCAGACAAAAAGGTGTCAAGGCTCAAACATTTAGTATTTAAAACACTTTAAATGAGTGAAAACCTGATATGCATATGATATAACTCTGATTGGCTGTTGTCATTTCTTTCTCTCGTCTCGACTCCGCCTAGTAGTGTTTATTTTCAGGTTTGGGTTTAACTTTGGGCTCCATTTAATAGCATAACCGCACCTACTGGGGGTGGGGCTAAAGATGGCCCCATCTGATTGGTTAAATTTATCTAAATAATTAATGCGTAAAATAAATATCACACATAAATTACATATACTTATGCATTATGCATAAGCATTGTGAGCAGATGTAATATGTATTGCATTCATTCATTCATCTTACTTCGGCTTAGTCCCGCCAACTATTCCAGCATATGTTTTACACAGCGGATGCCCTTCCAGCCACAACCCAGTTCTGGGAAACACCCATACACACTCATATACACACACGCACACTCATACACTACGGCCAGTGTAGTTGATCAGTTCCCCTATAGCGCATGTGTTTGGACTGTGGGGGAAACCGGAGCACCCGGAGGAAACCCACGGCAACACGGGGAGAACATGCAAACTCCACACAGAAACACCAACTGACCCAGCCGGGACTCAAACCAGTGATGTTCTTGTTGTAAGGCCACAGTGCTAACCACTGAGCCACCGTGTCACCACACATGTTTCAGTTCTAGTGAAGTAATCTGCAGATTTTGGTGGATGTGTGTGGATGTGTAGTGTTTGACTGCAGTGTTTTGTTCCTCAGGTTCTGCCGCTGTTCATCAAGACGGCGAGTGTGTACTGCGGGCGTATCGTCAGACAGAAGGAGGATTTATATGAGGATCTGGCAACCCAGATGAAACTGCATTATGCCAGTGAGAGACGCTGCGCTGTGGAGGTGCTGAAGGGGGCGCTGTATGCCATCCAGGAGGAGAACTGCTACCACCGGTACTGCTGAACACACCAGCAAAATAATCCAGTGTTCACTTTGAAATAAGACTCATTTTCATCCCCCATCAGCAGATGATTTTGCTTGTTTTTTTAAATGTAAAACTCACTTAATTTAGTCTCATTATTTCTTAAAACAACAGTTTTTTGTCTAGAAAATGCTTCTTGATTTAATTTTGCTCAGATATTTAGGCTAGAAGCTAAGCTAGGAGCATTTTTTGCAGTGTATTTTAATATTCAGATTTTATTTTGACCCCTCAGATTCCAGATTTTCATTAGCTCTCATTTATATATTGTCCAATATACCAAACTATGCATCAATAGAAGCATATTTAATATTTTTATGTAAAATTTCATCTGATTTTTGCAACGTCTCTGATTGATATTTGATTTGTTTTATTGCTATCACACATTAAAGTTAATTTTATATAAAGGCATAGTGTACGCAACAATCCTCTGGGCTTACTGCATAACAAATACCAAAAATTAAACTATTTATTAAAAAAATTATCACTTTCTGGCCATCGAATATTAGGCATGGACATATATACTGCCATCGAGATTTTCGAAAGCATTAAATCACTCTATAAATGTTTATTATTACCATTTCATGAGTCTCCCCATTCAGTTGAATAGAGCGCTTGGACCCGGAAGCCGCTTCGCGTGACGTCACACTTAACAAGTGGATAAACAAACACATATAGTGTATCCAGAACAGTGTTTCCTCTAGGATGTTTTCTACCTGTGGTGGCAACCCTTTTACACAGATCTATCAACCACCTATGGCGTTACTTGAATCACAAATGGCGTGAGCGCAGTATTACAAGTCGAGAACGTGTTCATGTAATACAATCATGTGAATCTCTTTGCTTGCCTGCCGATTTCCTCTGTTCGTGAGCAAACTTCTTGCACGCCCTCAAATAAACGCTGCCCAAGTGCAGATCTTCTTGTGCGCTCTCAAATAAACACTGCTGAATGTAATGTAATGCGTGTATTTATATAGCGCATTTAATGTGTACAGTCATACACCCAAAGCACTTCACAATCATGAGGGGGTCTATACACAACTACCAGTGTGCAGCGCCACTTGGATGATGCTCCGGCAGCCACAGGACAACAGCGCCAGTGCTTCACCACACACCAGCTATAGGGGGAGTGGAGAGACTGTGATAGAGCCAATTCAGTGGATGGGGATCATTGGGAGGCCATGATGTATAAGAGCTGATAGAGGGAGTTTAGGGGTTACCAGAAGTGCCATGGGGTTATTAATGAGCACAGAGAGTCAGGAGCTCGGGTTAATGTCTCATCTGAAAGACGGCGCTCACTGACAGTATAGAGTCCCCTTCACTATACTGGGGCATTAGGACTCACACAGACCACAGGTTGAGCGCCCCCTGCTGGCCTTTCTAACACCATAACACCACTGCCAACAGCAGCCTAGCTTTCTCATGTGGTCTCCCATCCAGACACTGACCAGGCTCAGCCCTGCTTAGCTTCAGTGAGTGAGCGCTCTTGGGCTGCAGGGTGATCTGGCTGTAGAAAAGTAATATTATTACATGAGTCAACCAACGCTGCTCATTTTTAAATTTAAAATGCACCATTGTGGAGCAGAAGACACGTCTGTCAGAAACATTAAACCTGATGACACCGCTGACTCTTACTGTTCAGGTCATGTGTAATGATGTGTGTTTGTAGTGTGCGTGTGCTGGAGGTGCCGGAGAAAGGAGAGCAGCTGTTCAGCAGCGTCACCGCCTGCCTCATAGACGAGGGCCGCACACAGGAAGTGAAGTCACACCAGCTGCTCCAGCTTCCCGCTCAGTTCCAGGATCTGCCCGGCCAGGCGGTGGAGATCATCCTGTGCAGAGTTCAGCCTGTGGACGGAGAGGTGGACTGGAACCCGAAGGTGTGGAGCGACGCTTTAGCCAAACACAAACACACACACTCCTCACCATTCATTCATTTATTCATTCTCCTTCGGCTTAGTCCCTTATTCATCAGGGGTCGCCACAGCGGAATGAACCACCAACTATTCCAGCATATGTTTTTACACAGCGGATGCACTTCCAGCTGCAACCCAGCACTGGAAAACACTCATTCACACAAACACTTATACACTACAACAGGTTTAGTTGATCAGTTCACCTATAGCGCATGTGTTTGGACTGTGAGGGAAACCGGAGCACCCGGAGGAAACCCACACCAACATGAGGAGAACATGCAAACTCCACACAGAAACCCCAACTGATCCAGCCAGGACTCAAAGCAGTGACCTTCTGCTCAGTGCTAACCACTGAATCACCGTCACGCCAACACCTCACCAATGTTTCAAATTTGAACTGCAATACCTCGTTTGACCACCAGGTGTCAATCCTACATATTGCACCTTAATGTTGAACGTTGTGTGCGTATCCTCTTATTCAGTGTGTGTGTGTGTCTCTTCAGGTGACCAGAGCCGTCAGTTTGAAGATCAGAGGGAAGCTTCATCAGGCGCGTGTTGTCATGAGTTTGGGAAACACCATCTGGGTCGACCCCATGGTACGTATTCGTCATCACGGCGCCACCAACAGGCCGAGGTTTGCCGGTTTTGTGAGGTTTCTGTTCCCTCTCTGTGGTCTTCAGGTAAGAATGGTGAGAGTGCCAGGACTGAAGACCTTCATCAACGAGTACAACGTCCACACGGAGATCCTCGCCTCAGGCTTCGGGGTCAGTAATCCTCAGCATGTGGATCTGCTGAAGACGGTTTTGCAGAGAGACCAGAACCACAACATGCTGGATCAGCAGCTCTCAGAACACAGGCTAGTCTATTCGCTTCATACTTGAAATTAGGGATGTGCAATGTATCGTTTCAGCATCGATAACAGCTCAAACACTCTAATGGCTAATGGACAGACGGCTGCTTCTCACTCAGGGCTGCTGGACATGCTAATGAGATGGGCACTAGTGGGCGGGGCTTTCCCCCTCTGATGACACATGCAAAGGGAGAATGTCAATCACAGTGTTTCTGCAGACTGTTCATCAAGACTGATTAGAGCAAACACTATTGATGTTCCCCATTAGAGGCTGCTGGAGATACTCACACACTGCTGACACACACACAACTGGGGTTAAACCCCACATAAAAGTCATTTCTGCATAATAAATTCACTTTAAGGTCTGATTTACAGCTTTAGTGTGAATAATTTAAATGCTTGTTGCTTGTTTTATCACCATGATGTATATTACATGTACTTTTATTATCTGATCTTATAAACACATGTTGCTTTTACATAATATTCAGGTTTATTGTTCTTTTATAGATGTTTACATGCATGTGAAGTGTGTTTTATGTTGTATGCACAGGTTTGAGAGCGCTTTACTGTCGTCCCAGCAGAGGATGGAGGTCAGTGAAGACTTTCTGACCAGCAGGATGAAGGATTTAGTGAGCGCCCATAATGCAATGTTCATCCAGAATAACACTGCAGTGGTGTGTAATGGAGGAATGAAGAGCGGAGAAGATGCAGAGCTGTCAGCGAGGAGCGCTGGGTTAGTGACGTGTTCATTATGGGTTAACCAGACTAACTACGGACCGTCTGAAAACATGTAAAGCAGCTGCAGGGCTTCCACAGTTTCTGGAAAACCATGTGTTATTATACACGCACAATAGCAGCCTGTTTATCTGTTCATTAGATGACATTTAAATTAAGCTTTTTATTCAGTAAAAGGCTGGGGAATTTAATATTTGGCTGCAAATGCAAACTGTATTCAACATTATATTTATAGGCATGATAATGTTTTTATGACACCATTTTCCTCATTTCAGGTCTGATCTGAATGGGTTCGCCTCTCTGATACACACCGGACCATCCAGCTCTGAATCAGGCATGCTTATTAATAATAATAATATTATATTTTATTTATGAGGCACTTTTCTCACAACCCAAAGTACTACAAAGATAAGATGAGACAGTAAAAATACAATGCATAATAATAAAATATAAAAACAACATAGATCAAGAACCTTAGTTAGTAATATGTTCATGGTAAGCAATTTTGAAGAGGTGGGTTTTATTCAGATGAAACTTGTTCATTTCTAAAGGTGATGTTGTTTAGAATTTTTCCTCAGATGTTGGTAACAACCAAAGAAATTCATATATACAAAGAAAACTTAACTAATTAGATTACAAATAAAGTTCTGTGTTACATAATAAAATAATGCAGGGAAAAAGTATTGAACACGTGAAGAAAGGAAGGTGTCGTTCAGCAGTGAAAGCCCAGACAGCAGCTGAAATCTCTCAGGAGTTCTCCAGCAAGCCTCCTCTTCCTCAGTGTACATGAAGATCAGCTGCTTCAGTCCAACATCTACATCAGCAGGAGGATGAAGATGAAACCAGGGTGGACATTTGAGCGAGACGATGATTAAAAACACAGCCAAGGAGACTCTCAGATTATTTCAGAGAAAGAAAATCAAGCTGTAGAATGGCCCGACCAACCACCTGAGCCGAATCCAATAGAGAATACAGAAATTATTCAATTCTTATTACACACAACTAATATTTCTGTTTTGTTTGTTTGTTTAATGTTTTCTGTTTGCATAGTTTGGGTTTTTACCAAAATCTGCTTCATTATCATGTCAGCAGCTCCTTTACAAATATTATTCCCTGGACAAATCATTACAATACTTATTTCCCCTGCTGTATAACGTGCTCATTTCTTTTCATTTCCACTCTCAGTAACACCTGATTTGCTCTTCTCTTTATTGGTGATGCAGAGAGTGATGAAGCTGTGGATCAGTTACGGACGCTTAATAACAACAACAATAATACACCACAGGCTCCATATAACTCAAAGCTTTTCTCATTCCAGCCGACCAGGTGAGTTATAAACATCACGATAGTCTGTTATCCATATGTGTTAATCATATCCAGTGTTTTCCCTGCAGTTTCCACCCACAGATCAAGTGGTTTCAGAGAGGAGAATCGGTCACCGTCTGCATAAAGCTCATCAATCCGGTGATGCAGAAATGTGAATTCAGCTGCGATGCCGTCGTCTACAGGTCACATGATAGTATCTGCTAATATCAGTCGTTTCGGTTTGCATATTTAAGATGTTACTGCTCTTTAGTAGGCATGCACGTGTCTCAGAAGTAGGCAGTACATCTTGTATAAAGGCGCACAATAGGTGTCCTTTAATGAAAAGCATCTTTCTTTGCTCTTGAGTTTGCCAGATGATGTGCTCTGTGTTTATATATAAATTATTATAAACTAATAAATTATAAATTATTATTATTGATGTGGTTTACTCTCAGTGGGTACGTGAATGACCGTCACTACTATGCCAAGCTGGAGCTGTTTGGCGACATCATCGCTGAGGAGTGCTCATGGGAAATGAAGTGCAACGAGCCTGTGATGAAGCTGATGAAGAAGGACAAACGTGACTGGACGACTCTGCTCAAACACAAGGCACCTTATAGACTTCTTACTGTTTTTATTTTAATGCCAGTGTTATGCCTTTCTGACATTGATCAATGGTAAAGGGGGTTATTGTCACCCAGAAAGAATTATTCCACTTTTCTGCAGTTAGGAACTCATGAAGTTCAGATCAAAATGATTTTGTCTGCTGTTTACAGCTGTGTCTGAAAGCGGTGATAGCAGACTGGGCCATCTGACCAATCAGAGCAGAGCCATCTGACCTGTTGGGGTGTACTTGCCCCATCAGACCAATCAGAGAGGAGTAGAGCAACATGACCAATTAGAAAAGAGCCATCTAACCAATCAGTGGAGAGTAGGGCTATGTGACCAATTAGAGGAGTGTCATCTGACCAATTGGTGTGTAAATGGCCTCTCTGACCTATTAGAGCAAAGTAAAGGCATAGCCAATCTGATTAGAGTACGGCTGTCTGACCAATTAGAGCAGAGTAGGACCATTTTGCCAATCAGTGTAGAGTTATCTGACCAATTGGAGAGTAGTTGGCCTGTCAGAGCAGAGTAGGACCATGTGACCAATCAGTGTAAAGTCATCTGACCAATTGGGGCGGAGTGGGTCTGTCTGACCAATCAGAGCAGAGTAGGGCCATGTGACCAATCAGTGTAAAGTCATCCAACCAATTGGAGAGTAGTTGGCCTGTCTGACCAATCAGAGCAGAGTAGGACCATGTGACCAGTCAGTGTAGAGTCATCTGACCAATTGGTGAGTAGTTGGCCTGTCTGACCAATCAGAGCAGACACATAACCAATCTGATTAGAGTAGGGCCATGTGACCAATCAGAGAATAGTCATCTGACCAATTGGTGCGTAGTTGGCCTATCTGACCAATTAGAGCAGAGTGGGGCCATGTGACCAATCAGAGCAGAGTTATCTGACCAATCAGGGCGTAGTTATCTCATCTGACCAATCAGATCAGAAACATAACCAATCTGATTAGAGGAGGGGCATCTGACCAATCAGAGCAGGATAGGACCATGGGACCAATTAGAGAAAAGCCATCTGACTGATTGGCGCATACTTGCCTTATCTGACCAATCAGAGAGGAGTAGAGCCAAATGCCCAATCAGAAAAGATAGAGAGACATCTGACCAATCGGAGTGTAGTAGGGCCATCTGACCATTAAGAGGAGAGTCATCTGACCAGTTGTGGTGTAATTGGCCCACCTGACCAATCAGACCAGAGACATAACCAATCCGATTAGACTAGGGCCATCTGACCAATTAGAGGAGAGTTATCTGACCAGTTGGGAATTAGTTGGCCCATCTGACCAATCAGAGCGAAGTAGGGCCACTTAATCAACCAGAGTAGAGTCATCTGACCAATTTAGGCATTGTTGACCCATCTGACCAACCAGAGTAGAGTCATCTGACCAATTGGAAAATAGTTGGCCCATATGACCAATCAGAGCAGAGTAGGGCCACATGACCAATCAGAGTAATCATCTGACCAATTGGGGCTTTTTGGGCCATCTGATCAATCAAAGCAGAGTAGGGCCACATGACCAATCAGAGTAATCATCTGACCAATTGGGGCTTTTTGGGCCATCTGACTAATCAGAGCAAATTATGGCTGTGACCAATCAGAAAAGAGACATCTGACCAATTGGGATGTAGTTTGCCCATCTGACCAGTCAGAGCAGAGTAGAGTAGGGCCACATGACCAATCAGAGAAGAGACATCTGACCAATTGGGGCTTTTTGGGCCATCTGATCAATCAAAGCAGAGTAGGGCCATGTGACCAATCAGCGGAGAGCTATCTGACCGATTGGAGTGTAGTTGGCCCATCTGACCAATAAGAGAGGAGTAGATTCACATGAAAATGAAATTAGTATTTGAAGTCAGACTTGTGATTAACATGACTGATTTGGATCTTCCTCTGTTTCAGAGTGCGTTTGTCAGCTATGAGTTCGACCGCATCGAGGAGGCCTGTGTTACAGTCAACGGTGAGCAGCAGTGCTCATTATATTACACTAATTATGTTGTGAGCGCACATGAGTAGCTCTGATTAAATCCCAGTTTCTCTGCATCAGGACACTCGTTCCTGGCCGAGGTCGGAGAAGACGGATGTTACGTCAGCTCAGAGAGCGACAGCGACAGCGACTGAACAAACCACTCGTTAAACACACACGCCACCCAAAAGTGAACATTCTGTCATCATTTACCCTTCCTTGATCAAAGCCTGAACACAGAGGAAGATACCTGCATAGCCAGAGACTTTCATCATATTCGTTTCTCCTACTGTGGAAGTCAATGGTTACAGGTTTCCAGCATTCTTCAAAATATCTTCTTTGGTGTTCAACAGAAGGAAGAAACTAAGAAGGGTTTGAAACCACTTGAGGGGGAGTAAATAGGGAGTAAATGTTCAATTATGGGTAGTTACTACATTGACTGAGGAAAATAACTCTATTTGACTGTCTGTTGATGAATAATAATAATAATAATAATAAATTTCTGCGCAGCATTAGTGTTGCGCAGCCGTGCCTTTAAAGGCCTTTCAGTTACTCTAGTTGGGTTTAATAACTATTTTAAGTTGACTTAAGTGCAAATTGAGTCTGTTTGTGTTCTGTCTGATGAATATTTATGTTTGTGTATTTCATAAATTGACACATTATGTGACTAAAATGCAATTTAATATGTTCTTTACATCGCAATAAAGTGACATTGAGTGAAGTTAAATATAACAAGCAGATTTTATTTTATTTCATGCTACATTTTAGGAAAGGAATGGCAGAAAATTGCAATTAATTTTAATCAATTAAATATATATATATATTACATTCATAATGGTTTAATATAAGTGCTAATTCTTAATTTGTAAGACTTATTAAACTTGTTAAAATCACGAACACAAAAAAATATCAAATATAATACGTAAACACCGGACTATAAGCTTAATTATTACTCCGTGAATTATTTCGTGAATATGCTGGTTATTATATGGTAGAAACAAAGTGGTTCTTGTGTGGGCGTGGCTCAGCCTCAATGGTGGCTCTGATTGGTTAGAGTGAGTGCTGGTGCGTTACATATTTCAGCGCTTTCGATGACTGACCAATCACCGCCTTCTCGAATTCATCGTGTCATTTAAGAAATGTTCAGAGATTTGTGAGGCGAACTCGATGTATGTCGTGTTGTCTCTTCAAAGGTTACACTTGTGAATGTTCAGTTTGTGTAATGAGACTAAACGCGTCCTGTTTTCTCGGTTTAAAGGAGCTGAAGAGACTGCACGCGATTGATCGACTAATCAGAGCTGGAGAATCTGGAGCGGGGTGGAGCTTACGCTTGAAAATAATAAGGTTGTTTCTAGAAGGGATACAGCTGTTGGTGTCTTCCGTAACAAACAGTAAAGTAAAAACAGGAATTATACAGAGTATTATTCATATTATTTATTAAATTGTATATTATTAACATCTACCCTAAGCCTACTTTTAACAGTAATGTAAAATATGAATTGTACAGTGTCAAAAAAATTGCTAAATTTTACGCAGCTGTATCCCTTCTAGAACTTACCAAATATTTATGACGCAACAAACACGCAACACTGCGATTAAGGACCCAAAGTCGTCTCACACTGCCTGTTGAAAGTTTTTGGCTTAAAATAAATGTTTTTCGATTGATAAAAATCACTAAGAATAATTATAACATCTAAAAGACATGTAATCTGTAAATTAACGCAATTCTCCTTGTACGCAATGTGTGTTTTATCATGTCGAGCGTGTTTGTTCGTGTCAGGCGCGCTGCCTCTCACTCGCTCCCGCTGCTGGAAGTGTCATTCAGACAGCGGTTACAGCAGTGACTCTGTGCGGCTTCATCCGTCGCTTCTGCCGGCCTGAAGAGCTCTGATGGCGGCTCTGCTGTCCGCTTCTCTCCGCGGCGCCGCGCGGACTGCACTGCGCTTCCACACCGCGAGGATCCGGAGCTGCGCCGCTCATCCGCCGGTCAGAATAACACACACTTATATTAAACACATTGACTGACACACACGTGACATAACACACACACACACACACACACGTTACACACGCTCATGTGTCATAACCTTAAACGCACATACAGATACAGACATTGAGCACACACACAATCTGGTAGACACACATTCATGTATCATAACACACATACACACTACACAGGTTTATGTGTACACATGTGTCATAACACACACACACACACACAGAAATTGAGTGCACACAAAGCTACACAGCTTTATGTGTCCACCAACACACTCAGATAGACACTTATATTCATGTTTTATAGCACATACAGACATGAGCTCACACACTACACAGGAACATGTGGCATAACACGGTGACACACACACACACACACACACACACTGATTACTCGGAGCACACACACATTCATGTTTCATAACACACAATCTTAAACACAATGATCATTGAACACACACACTTTCGTTTTTCTTAACACACTGAACACACACATACATGTTTCATAACACAACACAACACACACACACACACATATGCATGTTTCATAACACACACTGACATGCATATTTATGATTCATACATACACTCTGAACACACACAGTGAAGTCATAATTATTCGTAAAAATAAACAAGCGGTCTAATAATTCTGACTTCAACTGTACATGCTTCCCAACACACACACACACACACACACACACACACACACACACACACACACACTCATTACAGCACAGGTCTACAGTGAACAGAAGTGTGACGTCATGATGATTCTGCCTGCTGTGTCACATGACCTGTTTTCTATTTTTCTGGCTTGTTCTGTCTTTAGCTATTTACTTATTTGTATTCAGTTGATCAAGTCACTACATCAAAGGAGAAATTAAGATATTTTCTTTATACTTCTTTATTTTTACTGAGTTAATTTTTATTTTATTACATGCATTTCTTAAATTACTGAATAAAGTTGGGGTGGGCGCTGGTTCAGTGGTGTTGCACTGTGGCCTCACAGCACTCAGGTCTCTGGTTTGAGTCTCGGCTGGGTCAGTTGGTGTTTCTGTGTGGAGTTTGCATGTTCTCCCTGCATTCGTGTGTGTTTCCTCCGGGTGCTCCGGTTTCCCCCACAGTCCAAACACATGCGCTATAGTGGAACTGATCAACTACACTGGCCGTAGTAAGTGTGTGTATGAGTGTTTCCCAGCGACAGTATCCTCCGTGTCAAACATATCTTCGAATAGTTGGTGGTTCATTCCACTGTGGTGACCCTTAATGAATAAAGCACCGAGCTGAAGGAGAATGAATGAAGTGTTTTCAGGGCATAATGAGTGTTTTCCAGTGGATCTCAGACACAATGCAGCTTTCACAAAGTAAAGCAAAGCAGTGTCTTTGGCTCAGTACTGACAGTAGAACAGCTGCCGAGCAACAATCACATGTGTGTGTGTATGTAGATTATTTTACAACACAGATCAACCAATCAGAATCCAGCACCAGAATGGTTCATGTTAGAGCTTGATCTGTTGGAGAGCAGAACGTAAACAAACCCACTGAACTGATGTTTAGCTGATCAGGGCTGCGTTCCCTAAACAACGGCGTGACTCGCGGCTGAACTATCATAGTACAATGCATAGTTTGGGAAAAGAACAATGTAGTGATGATGGTTTACAAAAACCTATAGTTTCTCTGTCGCAGATCCATCGCTTAACCCATCTTAGTTATAGGGTAAGACACCCACAATGACGCTCTAAACAGGGCAGAGTAACTACTTCTTTAAAGTTAAAGCCCATCATTTATTTTTGCAGATGATATTGTTTTACACGCACACGCATTTAAAATAAAATCTAATATTAGGTTTGCTAAAAACATGCACTCGCTTTCCATATTAACTGAAATATATGTAAATGGAATATATAGGGTTTGTGTTTGCTTTACTCATATTGAGAATATGACACATCCTATTTTAAAACATAAAACCGCTTACAAAAGCTAGCACTGTTCTAATATCATATATAAATCATATGAATAAAAAAATAATGAGGCTACTTATTATAAAATGAAATTTAATATTTATTATGTATTAGAAATGAAAAAAATCATACTTTAATAATAATAATAATATTAATGATGATGATAATGATTATTATTAAGTATGATATTGTTTATTTATTTTTTTATGAATGTCTACTTTTACAATTTGACACATGTAAACCATAACGGAAAGTAACCAGCAGGCCCATGTCATAGACAGTACAGATACTTAATAAATAACCCACTACAAATTAAAAGAATTAACGTATACTTTATGTTTTCACAAGCTTTGGAGACGTATCGTAAATTCCACTTGTAAATAATTGGTCACCTATAGCTTTCGTCATGAGGCTGTGTTCAAAATGACATCAGTGTGTTTAAAGTGCACTGCGAAGGGAGCGCAAATGTAAACATGAAGATCGCTAAAACTGAACTGTAAAAATAGTTTGAAAGCAAAAACACCTAAGAGAGATGAGCTTAATGCTTTATTATTTTTAATAATTCCAACTTTGAATGTCAGAATGTTCTAAATGAATAGTGCATAGGGGGGATAAGAGAGAATAGAACACAGCCAGGAACTCTGTTTCTAACTACAGCTCCAGAGGTGTAGTTGCGAGTGCTCAAGTTTGCGACGCAGTTTGCGAATGTTAGATGGAGCGACGAATTTGGGAAATGGCAAATCAACAAACTATGCTTGTAACGACAGAACTTGCGTCCTTAGTTGGCTAAAGATGATTATGGGAAACGCACCCCTGTCCTGCTGAAGATCAACTTTTAGTGTCATGTGTGGAGCTGCACTAATCAGAAAAACAAACATTTACAGTATTATAGACTGAGGAGAGCATTACAAAACTGTTACAGATACTTTTATACTGTTAATTGATTGAATTTGCAGGATTGTTCCTGCATTCATTCAGTCATTTTCTTGTCGGCTTAGTCACTTTATTAATTCGGGGTCGCCACAGCGGAATGAACCGCTAACTTATTCAGCAGGTTTTTACACAGCGGATGCCCTTCCAGCAGCAACCCATCTCTGGGAAGCATCCACACACATGCACACACACTCACACACTACGGACAATTTAGCCTACCCAGTTCCCCTATAGCGCATGTGTTTGGACTGTGAGGGAAACCGGAGCACCCGGAGGAAACCCACGCAAACGCAGGGAGAGCATGCAAACTCCACACAGAAAGGCCAACTGAGCCGAGGATCGAACCAGCAACCTTCTTGCTGTGAGGCGACAGCACTACCTACTGCGCCACTGCTGCACCCATGTTACTGTATTGTGATGTATAATGTTGCAGGATGTGAGATGACTGTGATGTGAGATTTTAGGCACAGCACTCTGCTGCATTAAACTCAATAAACCACGGCTACCTGGGGCTTTTTGCTTGGTTTTATCACAAGTCAAATGTTAGTTTAAGTTGCACAGCAGAAATGCCTCTCGTTGTCTTGTTGAGTTGTTGTCTTGTTTCTAGTCCAAATATCTGAAGACTCCTAAATCAGGAAGCATTTTCTAGACATGCAAAAATATATATAGTGTTGTTTTCAGAACTAATGCGTCACAATGAAGCCAGCTCTTCCTTAAAACAAGCGAAATAATCTGCCAATGGGGGAAGCAGAATGAATTTTTAAGATTATTTTGCTTTCATCGTTTTTTGCAGTGTATCATAAGCCTTATGTGCTCATGCTCATGGTGTGTGTCTTGCTCTGTCAGTTTTCAGGTCTGTATGGTGTTTCTCCGCTGCGCTCTGTAGGAAAGCGCTTCACATTCCCTCAGTCCTGTTACTCCACAGACGCCCCGAAAGGTGACCCTCTGGATGTGTGTGTGTGTGTGTGTGTGTGTGTGTGTGTGTGTGTGTGTGTGTGTGTGTGTGTGTGCTTTGTAATAGTGACTTTGTGTAGACCAAATGTCCCCACAAGTATAGTAAAACCAGTGCATTTTGATATATTTCTTTGTTTTCCGTGAGTAAAAGAGCTGATAAATGAAGGAGTGTGTGGATGTAACAGTGCAGATTGTTTGCTATGAGGGTTGAGTTTAGAGAATATACAGTCTGTACAGTACAACATCATGTCTATGGGAAGTCCCCATAAAGATAGGTGTACAAGTGTGTGTGTGTCTGTCTGTCTGTCTGTCTATGTCTGTCTGTCTATGTGTGTGTGTTGTATTTGGTGGTTTAGAAGAACAGAAATGTGTATAATGACATGGGGATGCACTAGATATTACAACACTGAGGTGGTTTATGAGGACATCTCTTGTGTCCCTATAGTTATAAAAGCTTTAAAAAAAATTCACATTAAAAATTGGCCGTATAGTTAACTAAAAAATAACATAAAAAATAGGTGTTTAGGGGAGTCCCACCCAAACCTGTGTGTATCTTGTATTTCTTATGTTGTTAGGACTAAATGTCCCCATCAGTATAGTAATACCAGTTCACCAGGGGCGAGAGTATACAATCTGTACAGTACAAACATCATTACAGCTGTGAGTGTGTGTGTGTGTTCTGCAGATGCTCCGCCCCCTGGAGGAGGAGGAGGAGGACGGAGAGGCGGTAGGAAGAGCTGGCCTGCTCGATTGGCACAGGTGAGTCTGCAGGAACGCTAATAACACAGTTAGAAAAGTACATATATTTATATATATCTTTATTTTTTTATTCAAGCAAAATTATAAGAAACAAGACTTTCTCCTGAAGAAATATGTAATTGGTAATAGTGTGAAAAGCGTCTTTGCTCTGTCAAACAGCATTTGGGGAAAAAACTGTTAAAATGATCTGTGTTCAGGGTGATTTCCCGTGGGACGACCGTGATTTCCGGCATCTTCTACTGGCTGCGAGTGGTGTGGCGGCGCTGCTGCTGTATCTGCTCTTCAGAGACCCGGGGAAGGAGATCACCTGGAAAGACTTTGTGCACCGCTATCTGGACAGAGGCCTGGTGTGTGAATCAGCTCTGTGTGTGTGTGTGTGTGTGTGTGTGTGTGTGTGTGTGCTGTGACTGATGTGTGTGTGTTTGCTCTGTGCAGGTGGAGCGGCTCGAGGTGGTCAATAAGCAGTTTGTGAGGGTGATTCTGGAGCGAGATGCTGACGCCAATGAAGGAGTGAGTTCTGGATGTCTCATTGGAGACACGAGCTGCCAGGGTGATCACATGACCAATCTAAACTAGCCCACATGACCAATCAAAACTTGCCCAAAATCAACACAATAGTGGATCAAAATAGCCCAAAACAATCCCAATGGCCCATATAAACTAACCCCAAATAACCCCAATGGCTCTTCAAAAATAGCACAATGGCCCCTTTAAAACTAGTCCAAAACAAGTCCAATGATTAAACCCAACTAGCCGAATGGCTAATCAAAAATAGCCCAATGAACCATTAAAACTAGTCCAATCGCTAATCAAAACTAGCCCAGTGTACAACCAAAACTAGCTCCAAAAATGTGGCCAATGGCTAATCAAACCTAGCCCAAAATTAACCCAATGGTTAATCAAAACTAGCCTAATGACCCATTAAAACTAGTCCAATGGCTAATCAAAACTAGGCCAGTGTACAATCAAAACTAGCCCAAAAAATTACCCCAATGGCTCTTCAAAAATAGCACAATGACCCCTTTAAAGCTAGCCCAAAACAATACCAATGATTAAACTAAACTAGGCCAATAGCTAATCAAAACTAGTCTTATTGGTCAATCAAAACTAGCCCAAAAATTTTGGCTAATGGTAATCAAACCTAGCCCAAAATTAGCCCTGTGGCTAATCAAAACTAGCCCAGTGTAGAATCAAAACCAGCACAAAAAAATTGGCCAATGGCTAATCAAACCTAGTCCAATAACCCATCAAAATTTGCCCAATGGCTAATCAAATCCAACCCAATGGTCAATTAAAACTATCCCCAAAAGATTGCCCATTGTCCAATCAAAACTAACCCAATGGTCAATTAAAACTAGCCCCCAAAATTGGCCATTGGCTAATCAAAACTACTCCAAAATTAGCCCAGTGTAGAATCAAAACCAGCACAAAAAAATTGGCCTATGGCTAATCAAACCTAGTCCAATAACCCTGCTGAAAAATCCAGCTTAAACCAGCCTAGGCTGGTTGGCTGGTTTTAGTTGGTTGACCAGCCTGGTTTTAGAGGGGTGTTGGCCATTTCCAGGCTGGTTTTCAGCCATTTACAGCCTGGTCTTAGCTGGTCAGGCTGAAAAATGACCAGCTTAATCCAGCTAAAACCAGCTTGACCAGCCTGGTTTAAGCTGGACATAGCTGGTTTTGGCTGGGCTCTCAGCCTGGCTAGGCTGGTCAAGCTGATTTTAGCTGGTCATCTCCCAGCCTGACCAGCTAAGACCAGGCTGGAAATGGCTGGAAACCAGCCTGGAAGTGGCCAAAACCCCTCTAAAACCAGGCTGGTCGACCAGCTAAAACCAGCCAACCAGCCTAGGCTGGTTTAAGCTGGATTTTTCAGCAGGGAACCCATCAAAATTTGCCCAATGGCTAATCAAATCTAACCCAATGGTAAATTAAAACTATCCACAAAAGATTGCCCATTGTCCAATCAAAACTAACCCAATGGTCAATCAAACTAGCCCCCAAAAATTGACCATTGGCTAATGAAAACTAGTCTAAAATTCGCCCAATGACCTATCAAAACTACCCCAAAAGTAGTCCAATGACTAATCAAAACTAGCCCAAAATGAGCCCAATGGCTAATCAAAACTAACCCAATGGTCAATCAAACTAACCCCAAAAAATTGGCCACTGGCTAATCAAAACCAGTCTAAAACTAGCCCAATGACCTATCAAAACTACCCCAAAACTAGTCCAATGACTAATCAAAACTACCCCAAAACTAGTCCAATGACTAATCAAAACTAGTCCAAATTTGACTCAGTAAAACCAGTCCAACAGCTAAACAACACTAGCTCAATATTAGCCCAATGGCAAATCAAAATGTGTCTATTGACCAATCAAAATGAGCCCAATGGCTAATCAAAACTAACCCAATGGTCAATCAAACTAGCCCCAAAAAATTGGCCACTGGCTAATGAAAACTAGTCTAAAATTCGCCCAATGACCTATCAAAACTACCCCAAAACTAGTCCAATGACTAATCAAAACGAGCCCATTGACCAATTAAAATTAGCCCAATAAAACAAGTCCAATATTAGCCCAAATGTTAATCAATCTGAGTCCAACAACCAATTAAAACTATCTCAAAACTAGCTCAACTTGTGCAGTGGCCAAACAAAACCAGATACTGTTGATCCCACAGTAGGAGCCAAGGTACTGCAGAGGTCTGTTTTCCAGCATTCCTCCGTGTATTGGAACAGATATAGGGGTAAATGCTGACAGAATGTTAATTTCTGGATGAACTGCGGCTGAATGGTCAGAGTTGTGTTGTCTGAGGCGCAGGACTGTAATGCTGATGTTTTCATTGTGTTTGTGTCAGAGTTACGTGTGGTTCAACATCGGCAGCGTGGACACGTTCGAGAGGAATCTAGAAGCTGCACACTATGAGCTGGGCCTGGAGCCGTCACACAGAGCAGCGGTGGTCTACACGTCCGAGAGCGATGGGTCACTATTATTATATATTCAGTCAATGTTCAACTGCTTTCTGTGTTCATATACAGCAAATATTCAGATTTAAACTCAAATCATTGTGTTTGGACAGTTCATTAGTGAGCTGCTGTAAGAAAATGAGTTTAATCTGAGCTGATCCATGTATCTTTGTGTCTCCAGGTCTTTTCTGATGAGCTTCATCCCCACGCTGCTTCTGATTGGCTTCCTGCTGTTCACTCTGCGGCGCGGACCAATGGGAGGAGGGATGGGAGGGCGGAGGGGCGGGCTCTTTGGCATGAGCGAATCAACCGCCAAGATGATGAAAGACAGTATCGAGGTGAAGTTTAAAGACGTGGCGGGATGTGAAGAAGCCAAAGTGGAGATCATGGAGTTCGTCAACTTCCTGAAGAACCCGCAGCAGTACCAGGACCTGGGAGCCAAGATCCCCAAGGTCTGAGCACGGTCACATGCACCGTCTGCTGTTAAAGACTAGCCCAGAGTATGCTTTAACTCTTGATGACTGATCTCTGGCTAATCAAACAAGTTAGCAGATCACATTAAGATGTCTGGATGAGCTGATCTGAGATCTGCATGTGTTGTGACACAGAAGGCGTATATTTCTTCATTTCTCTCCAGCTGATCAATGTTGATGTGTGTTTTCAGGGTGCGGTTCTCTCCGGGCCTCCAGGAACAGGGAAGACGCTGCTCGCTAAAGCCACGGCGGGGGAAGCAAACGTTCCCTTCATCACCGTCAACGGCTCCGAGTTCCTGGAGATGTTTGTGGGAGTTGGTCCAGCCAGAGTCAGTCTCACATCTTCATCTTTAAATCACTAGTCATCTCTCCATACACACACTTTTATGCAAATTTTAGAAATATGAAATAGAAATGCCAAGATGTACATAAAAATAAAAATTGCGTCAGGTCAGTAGACGGATTAAAATCCAGTTGAGATGGAGCATTGGCACACTAATTGTGTTTTAGGGATCCGGCTGACTCTTGATATTGATTCATGTGTACTTAGGTGGAAAGGGCGATAACTTCCGTCTAGGTCAACAAGGTGTTGCACGACTAACCTAGATTGGGTACCCGACCTTTGTTTGAAGGTAATATTATTCTAAATTAAGTTCATATGGGAAACCATGGGCTTGGTGAAAACCAAAGTTACTATAGAGTCCAGTAGTCGGGTACATTTATATTAATGCCCTAACCTCTAATTAGAAATGATGATTGTCTTAACTCAAAGGTGTACATCTAAGCGGGACTAACTAAAGTATTTTAGAACGAGCGCGCTGGTAGCGGCCATCTAAAGTATTAGTCAATTACCTCCGTTTAATATTCAAGACTGACTGGAGTGTGACCGTGAGGGACGCCTTCGGCCGAGGCGATTTCTCTGAGCGACATGAGCACCCGAATGAACGGATGTAATAGTTACTAGTGAAGACAAACGGTTCAAACATTTATCTAAATTACATATTGATATAATCTTCTTAATGCTTTATGATTGGAGTCAGATGAAACGAAAGATAAATATATTAATATTCTAAACCACCTCATACTCAAATTGGAGTCAGATATGAGTTAAATTTAATATAAATCAACATTGTGCACTGGAAAGACCGAACAGGCATTGAACCTTCATCCACCAGTGGACACTGGCATTGGGCCAACTGGGTGGACCTTACAAAAGCATTTGATTAACTTCAGTAACTGTTTGTGCTCATGGAAGTGGAAATTAGCTGTGTTTAAAATAAAACATGCAGGATGGAGATGTTTACAAATTATTCAGTGTATTTGTCTGTTTAAACATACACCCGAATCCAAAAGTGTCCTGCACTTTCGCTCCTCTGTAAATGGCGTGTCTGTAAAAAGCTGATCAGGGTTACACAGATCGATATAATGACTAATGTAGTTTTTTAGTTGTAGAAAGTCACAGAATTTGACTTTGGGCTTAGATTGGGAGCCCTGATTGAAATATTGACCCAGATTGTTGCGTTTATTTTCTTGAATGCAGTGTTTTTGTTTGTGATTTGAGGTAAATTGACAGCTCTGTATGTGAACCGCTGGTGTGTCTACCTGCAGGTTAGAGACATGTTTGCGCTGGCGAGGAAGAACGCGCCCTGTATCCTCTTCATCGACGAGATCGACGCCGTGGGCAAGAAGAGAGGAGGAGGAAACTTCGGTGGGAACAGTGAACAGGAGAACACACTCAACCAGCTGCTGGTGGAGATGGACGGTCAGACTTTATTTACCGCTGCTCAGATCCTTTTTAACACTTACATTTCTCCCATTTTGGCATGATAGGTCTCCTTTAAAACAATAGTTGAACAATGATCTCGTCTTCAGACAGACAGGAGTGAATGTCTACACGTGTGAAGTCTGTTAGGCGTCTGTTAAACACAAGTTTGCATGCTGGGTTATTATGTGTGGGCAGGTTTCAACTCGAGCACTAATGTAGTGGTTCTGGCTGGAACAAACAGACCTGATGTGCTGGATCCGGCACTGATGAGGCCCGGCCGGTTCGACAGGCAGATTTACTTGGGTAAGAGTTTTACGTGCCACTCTTATATTTGCAGCCTAACAACTGATTTAGCGACAGCTTTTCTTGTGACATTATTTACTCAAGTTGTGTTTTGAAGTAAAAGCACATTCAAATCTTGTAAAACTGTTCATTTATTCATATCAAGAGTTATTAGCAGTCGACTGATATATCGGCATGGTCAGAATTCGCTATTTATATACAAGATTATGCACTTTTCTATATGGCTAATAAGTGTTGGACTTTTAATTTGACAGAGCCTTAATTATTGTGCTGTTTTAGTTTACCATTTCTGTCTAATTCATATATATATATATATATATGAAGAGCTCAGATGCAAAAACCTCTAAGTGCCATCTGAAGTTTCCATCAAAAATAAACATTTTTCCCAGCCTCCTTTGTTTATGTTGAGATATTTCACTTTACAGACTAGGAAAAGGACTCATTCTTAGCCATAAAAGTGATATTACTGAACTATGGACTATATATATATATATATATATATATATATATATATATATATATATATATATATATATATATATATATATATGGTGGTGCAGTAGGTAGCACAATCGCCTCACAGCAGGAAGGTCGCTGGTTTGAGCCCCGGCTGGGTCAGTTGGTGTTTCTGTGTGGAGCTCTGGTTTCCCCCACAGTCCAAACACATGCGCTATAGGGGATTTGGGTAAGCTAAATTTCCCAGTGATGGGTTGCAGCTGGAAGGGCATCCACTGTGTGAAACATATGCTTGAGAATTTGGCGGTTCATTCTGCTGTGACAACCTTTGATTATTAAAGGGGCTAAGCTGAAAAGAAAATGAATGAATAAATGTATATATCTTTATTTATGCTTTTAACTAGTTTTAAAATGTTTAACTAATTTTTTTTGCATGCTTTAAACTAGTTTTAAAATGTTTAACAAATTTTATTCATGCTTTAAACTAGTCTTACTTACAATGTTTAACTAGTTTTATTTATACTATAAACAAATTTTAACTTGTATTAAAGTTTTTAATATTTAATTTATATATATATATATATATATATATATATATATATATATAAATATAATATTTAAGGATCATAGAAACAAGAAGTTGCTATTTAATTTTCCCTCAAGTCAACTTAAATTTAACAGTGTGCAAATTAAAAACACAACTCTTCCCTCAGCAATAATGCATTTAATTGTGCAGTTTTAAATATACAATTTTAGTACTTTCATCATGGTTTTATATCAAATAAACAAAACAATCATATTGGCCACTATTAATAGATCTAATGTGCAGTAGGCTTGAAACACTTACGCATCTAAGATTTGTGCTTTTCATCTGTTCAGGGCCTCCTGATATTAAGGGTCGAGCCTCCATTTTCAAAGTGCATCTGCGGCCCCTCAAACTGGACCCCAGTGTGGACCGGGACGCCATCGCCAGAAAAATGGCAGCTGCTACACCGGGCTTCACCGGTGAGCGAGAGGAAAATTACATGCTGTGTGCTAATTATATATTTGGAGTTTACACTTGAGAGCAGGCTGATGTGATGATTGTTTCCCTATTTTTGCTGTATAAAGAGATGATATATTGGCTCTCTTCCAGGTGCTGACATTGCGAATGTCTGTAATGAAGCGGCTCTCATAGCTGCACGATATCTAAATGAGTCGGTCTCTGTTAAACACTTCGAGCAGGCCATCGACAGAGTCATCGGAGGTAAAACAAAGTACTCAGTATCTCACAAACATGTTGCATAAAACCCAGATTATGTTAGATGGAAGTTTACTGAAAGGTTCTATCTTCAACTTGTCACTCTTAAGTGCTGTTATGTTGTGTAATTACTATGGTGTACCTCAGGGTTCAGTCCTGGGTCCCATGTTTTTCTTACATACATGCTCCATACATCACCTAACGCAAGCGAAATTTAAACTATGTTTTTAATGGTGCTGACATATGCATCTTTAACTATCCTAAATTGCAATTCAAGCCCATTTTTACTCGTTTTTGTTTTGTGTCGTCCGTGTTCAGGTCTGGAGAAGAAGACTCAGGTATTACAGCCCACTGAGAAAAAGACGGTAGCCTATCATGAAGCAGGACATGCTGTTGTGGGCTGGTTCCTGCAACACGCTGACCCATTACTGAAGGTGACGATGATTTAAAGCCCTTTCATCACTGAAATTTAATTGTTAGCTTGTGCAAAGTGCAGATTCAACCCTAAGCTTGACAAATGAGGACATAAACTGACTAGAACTACTAATGACTACTAGAATCACATTACAACAGTCTAGATTTATAGTTCTGTTTAAATTCAGGCAATCATTTATGATCAATATACTGTTATAATTATTGTAACTCTTTACAATAACATTCTATTATTAGAGTTAATGCATTAATTTACTTACATGAACAAGGAACAGTATATTTATTGCAGTATTGTCTCATCTGGGTTAATGTTAATGATAAAAAATAAAGTTGTTCATTTTTAGTTCATTGTCTTGTCAACTTAATGGGTTAACATGGCTGTCTGGAATACTTGAATCTGATTGGTCAGTTGTGACATTTCAAGATATGTTAATCTGAGATAACAACCACTTTGCATCGTTGAGCTGCCAATAAGCCTGTCAGGCTTTATTCTGCAATAACAACCGTCTGGATGTACTTTATGCCTTACTTATCAACTCTGGATTTTATTAATGTGTTAGTATATGATTAATAATGATTAATGAATTATGATTAATGATGAAATATGATTAATCATTTTGTAAAGCTGCTTTGGAACAATAATTATAGTATAAAGCGCTATACAGATAAATAAACTTGAATACTGGATGCTGTAGAAGCATTATTTTCAATATTAAGTCATGTTAGTAAATACACTAACATTAACTTAGGAAACCTCATTATAAAATATGACTATTATTATTATTATTTTTATAACACAAAGTAGTCACAAGATGGCGCTAAAGATTCAAGAGCAGTGGAGTGACAAATAAACACGTGCGCAATGAATGATTGAATAAGTGGTATTAGTTAACTCAGTTGGTATTGGAAAATAACGTATGTTGGAATGTTATGATTGACCAATCAGAGTCCAGTATTCCAGACAGCTGTGTAAAAAGGATCCTTATCAGATTTACTCAGCGACTGCCATCCTCTGGTTGTGTTTTGCAGGTGTCCATCATTCCTCGAGGGAAGGGACTAGGCTATGCGCAGTATCTGCCCAAAGAGCAGTATTTATACACGCGCGAGCAGCTGTTTGACCGCATGTGTATGATGTTAGGAGGACGAGTGGCCGAGCAGGTGTTCTTCAACAAGATCACCACTGGAGCTCACGACGACCTGAAGAAGGTCACGCAGTCGGCATATGCTCAGGTGCACACATCCGGGCCCAGAAACTTATTCTATGGCAGTGTATCTCAATCCTGGTCTACACTGCGCTGCACATTTCCTATGCTTTTCTTTTTGTACTGCTCTGTTTTATAAGACTGAAAGGTTTATTCTGAGAAAACAACCATCCTGGTGTACTTCATCCCGCTTATTACAAGGCTATTTGCCACAAAATATAAAAATTAGACACAAAACATCATTCAGAGGCTTAATCATTTATTTATTAAACACATATCTGACAGAATGAAAACAGCTGATGGAGTATACACTAACCTGCGCATTATTCAGACACTAGAGGGACACAAACAAGTCAAAAATGAAAACAGCTGATGGAGTATACACTTACCTGCGCATTATTCAGACTCAAGATGGTGCTAAACGGTAAAAAACACAAAGCAATGAAAACAGCTGATGGAGTATACACTAACCTGCGCATTATTCAGACACTAGATGGAGACAAACAGTCAAAAACAAAACCTGTTGAATGGAGTATACGCTAACCTGTGCATAATTCAGACACTAGATAGTGCCAAACTGTCAAAAACGAAAACGTCTGATGGAGTATACACTAACCTGTGCATTATTCAGACACTAGATGGCGCCAAGTTGTCAAAAACGAAAACAGCTGATGGAGTATACACTAACCTGTGCATTATTCAGACTCTAGAGGGAGACAAACAAGTCAAAAACAATAACAGCTGATGGAGTATACACTAACCTGTGCATTATTCAGACACTAGATGGCGCCAAATTGTCAAAAACGAAAACGGCTGATGGAGTATACACTAACCTGTGCATTATTCAGACACTAGAGGGAGCCAAATAGTCAAAAACAAAAACAGCTGATGGAGTATACACTAACCTGTGCATTATTCAGACACTAGATAGCGCCAAACTGTCAAAAACTAAAACAGCTGATGGAGTATACACTAACCTGTGCACTATTCAGACACTGGATGGAGACAAACAGTCAAAAATGAAAACAGCTGATGGTGTATACACTAACCTGTGCATTATTCAGACACTAGAGGGCGCCAAACAGTCAAAAACACAAAGCTGAAAGACTAGGACTGTGCAAGTCAGTGAGGAAATGTTTTAAAGTAAATGAAGGAGAAGCGACTAGGGAAGAATGCGCACTGCATAGACTACATGTCAGTCAGAACGCTGTTGATGCATGAAGCTCTTCTAACGAGCTGTGTATTTACATCAACTCTTTTAATTAAGAGAGATATGCAAAATATGCAGATCTGTGGGCGTGAGGACCAGGATTGAGAAGCACTGGCCTATGGGAACACTGTGCATTGATTTTTCTGCTGTTTTATGATTTAGCAGAAGCTTTTATCCACACACACGTACAGGAAGAGTGTGTCTGGAGTAAAGCTGGAGCTAATGGAGAACAGCTGATCAATCCCTTTATTGATTATTAGATTGTTTGCTGATTAACTGAATGATTGCATGTTGTGCTGGTGTTCTCTATCGTGATCTCAGGGGAGAAACAAATGTACACAGGTTTGATTTTTAATTAGGAGATGAGATGTATGTGCTTGTTGTGGTTTGCTATTGGTGGATTTTATATGAGTGACAGGTTGGTCCCGCCCTCATCTCATTTTTGATTTTTAAGTGACTTTAATTAGATTACTTAGTGGAGATCTGAATTTATTGCAATGGAAGTACCCAGTTGTTTAGGCCACTTGATATAAAGTGAGGCCAATAGTTTAAATAAGATTGTACTTGGCCAGATCACCCTGCAGCCCAAGAGCGTTCACTTAATGAAGCTAAGCAGGGCTGAGCCTGGTCAGTGTCTGGATGGGAGACCACATGGGAACACTAGGTTGCTGTTGGAAGTGGTTAGTGAGGCCAGCAGGGGGCGCTCAACCTGCTTTCTGTGTGAGTCCTAATGCCCCAATACAGTGAAGGGGACTTAGATTTAGTGCGAGTGTGCTAGTCAGAATGTTGCCTTTATTAATCCTGTGTTGTCTGTGCTGTAGATCGTGCAGTTCGGCATGAGCGAGCGGGTGGGTCAGGTGTCCTTCGATCTTCCCCGGCAGGGCGAGACTGTCCTGGAGAAGCCCTACAGCGAGGCCACGGCGGAGCTCATCGATGAGGAGGTGCGGGATCTGGTGGACCGGGCTTACAGGAGGACTCTGGAGCTCGTCACCGAGAAGCGGGAGCAGGTGGACATGGTGAGGAGCGCACAAATAAAAAAAACAAAGAAAATTACTGCATGAGGACACCAAATACAATGTGATGCATGTTAAGCGCACACCAAACAAACAGGGGGCGATAAAAGCCTTTTATGCTGAATTGAGTCCAGTTTAAGGGAGTTTTTCCTTCAAACGAGCTTAATAATCTGCAAATAAATTATCAAGTAATTAAATCGTATCACTTGGAAAATATTCAATAGATCAATTTAAAGATTAGTTCATGGAAGAAGATTGATGTCTGATTAATAACTGATGTAAATATGCACGCTGTGTGTTTGTGGCAGGTGGGAAAGCGTTTGCTGGAGAAAGAAGTTCTGGACAAAGCTGACATGCTGGAGCTGCTGGGAGCGCGACCCTTCGAGGAGAAATCTACCTATGAGGAGTTTGTGGAGGGGACGGGCAGCTTCGAGGAGGACACCAGCCTGCCTGAGGGCCTGAAGGACTGGAATCAGGAGCGCCGAGGGGAACCAGAGGAACCGACAGACTCACAGGAGCAAAGAGCAGCTTAAACAAACACCTCCTCAAAGATGGAGACCGCCTTAAAGAGGAGGAGTCTGCATAATAGGGGAGGAGTCTTTATTAGAGGAGGTGAAGTCTATAAAAATAGGAGGAGTCTACATATGAGGAGGAGTCTTCATTATAGAGGGGGTCTCATTATAGAGGAGGGGTCTTCATAATATGGGAGTAGTCTACGCAATCGAGGACCAGTCTTCATAAAAGAGGAGGAGTCTTCATAAAAAATAGGTGGAGTCTTCATGAAAAATAGGCGGAGTCTTCATTGAAGAGGAGGAGTCTAGATAATAGAGGAGTCTTCATAATAGAGGAGGAGTCTTTGTAAAACAGGAGTGTTTGTAAAAGAGTCTACATATGTAAAAGGGGAGTTGTCTTCATAAAGTAGGCTGAGTCTACATAAGAGTCTTCACATCTATTATGAAGACTCCTCTTTTATGTAGACTCTGCCTAGTCTACATAAGAGATGGAGTGTTCATTTAAAATGGGCGGAGTCTTCATAAAAGATGAGGGGTGTTCATAAAAAGAGGTGGAGTGTTTATAAAAATGGGGAGGGGTCTTCATTAGATAGAAGGATTTATAACAGAGGAGTCTTCATTGAGTTCGAGTCTTTTTAAAAGACAAGTCCAGATAAAAGAGGGTGAGTCTTCATAAAAGAGGAGGAGTCTGCATAATTGAGGTGGAGTCTAGGTAAAAGAGGGGGAGTCTACATAGAGGTGGAGTCTAGATAAAAGAGGAGGGGTCTACATAATAGAGGAGGAGTCTTCATAAAAGAGGTGGAGTCTAGATAAGAGGGGGAGTCTTCATATGAGGAGGAGTCTTCATAAAAGAGGAGGAGTCTGCATAATTGAGGTGGAGTCTAGGTAAAAGAGGGGGAGTCTACATAAGAAGAGGAGTGGACATTTTGTTGACATTTGCATTTCATTTCTCTTGTTCATTCAAACGGGACTTTAACTGAGTTTGAAATGCCTTAATTCTGTATGTGCGTTATATATATTGGCATATTTCATGCCAGATGAACTCTTTAACGCTCAACACCGTGAACTCTTTATGCAAGATCTTATTGGTTGTTTTTTATCCTTTGATTTCTGCTGTTATCCTTTTTTATCAACTCTTACCTTCCTCTTAAAGCGACAGTTCCTCCAGAACTGAACAGCTCAGTCATTTACTCCCCCTTCACTTCACACAGACCGTTATATGAGCTTCTTTCTTCTGTGGAACATTAAAGAAGATATTTTGAAGAATGTTGGAAACCTGTAACCCATGACTTCATTGGTTACCAGATTCTAACATTCTTCAAAACATCTTCTTTAGTGTTCCACAGAAAAAAGACACTCATGATAGTTTATAACCACACGAGGGTGAGTGCATTTTCATTTTTGCGTGAACTGTCCCTTTAATATAAGCGGAGGACACTGTATATTTGTACAGTTTTCAGTTGTGTGCTTTAAGACGAAGAAAATGTTTTGAAACTGAAATTGTGATTATTTAATTTAATTAAAGGAGTTTTTTCATAGTTTGTTTTCTTTTTTAAGTGGCCCTAATTGATATATACGTTCATTTAAATTAATCACTTGGTACCGTGCACTGATTATGCACATTAGATTGAATAATGTATATTAATTACCAGTCATATTTTTAAAAATGATCTGTAATTAATTTTAAAGGTAATGAAAAAAATTTCTACCCTTAAACCCTATTTAAGGGTAGTAGCACCGTAAGTGCTGTCCAATACAATATATACAAAATAAGTACACTGCACTTGTTTTTTAATGTAAGTACCTAGTAGTTAAGCCCACTTGATATAATGTGGGATCTTTTAACTAATTCCCATTCCTTCCCTTGGACTTCTAGTAGGAATTCTGTGTCATTATGACAGTGTTTTCATACTCGCAGCCTCTGCTCTGCTCTTTAACAGTGTTGTTTTACTGTATTTGTAGGCTCCACTCAGTCTGCAGCAGAAGTAGGGCATGGCAGATGATTTATCACACGTCCCCTTCCAAGTGCATTTCATCAGGGACTCCTGCTATAGATGAGTGAGATTCAGCCTCCAGAATAACTCATGTTGAAGATATAATAGTAATAATAATGCGCTGGGCGTCAGATCTGTGTATGAAAGCTCAGTTTATGATCTCTTCTGCGCAGACAAGAGTGCTGTGTGTTCGCTGAACATCTTCATCTGCAGATCACGTGTGGATTTCTGTATCTTCAGTGCTGTCACGTGTGGAGTAAATCTCTCCACGCTGCCTTTATTTTGAGCTTATCGACAGCTCGTTGTGTCACAAGACCTGCTACAGGGGAAGGCTGGATGGTATGACCTCAATTGTATTTCATGGGAGCAATATATTTCACAAAATAGCTACTTAAATTTGTAGATATTCTAAAAATAAACAAAAAGGATTATAATGAAGTATTATTTTAGACATTTTTAATTAAGAATTGTTTATCGAATCCTTTAAATCAGGGGTGTCTAAAGTCATGGTGGGCCGGTGTCCTGCAGATTTTAGCTCCAACTTTCCTCAACACACCTGCAAGGATGTTTCTAGAAAGCCTAGTGAGAGCTTGATTAGCTAGCCCAGGTGTGTCTGATTGCGGTTGGAACTAAACTTTGCAGGACACCGACCCTCCAGGACCGAGGTTGGACATTCCTGCTTTTAAGTAATCACAAAACCTGTGGAGTACCTCAGGGTTCAGTCTTAGGCCCAATTATATTTGACATTTAATTGTTTATTTTGCTTGAATAATTTAAAGCATGTACATTTTAATTATCTTTTGAATATATTTACTAATAGTAAACATTATGCGTGCAGCTTACAGTGTAACATCCGATTCACACGGGGCGTCAGCCTCAACACTTCCTATTCACTTTGAATGGGTGATGTCAAGTGTTGCCGAACTGAGTTGTGGATCAGTGACTTTCTCAAGTGCCAACAGAAGCGTCAGCCAATCAGATCACTTCATGCAAATTCCCCAGCTCAAACAGTAGCCGATTGCTGACTAATTACATTGGCTGATGCTGCTATGATGATCACATCAGCCCCAACTTCAAATACGTTATCCGTCAATAGTTGACGCTGAAGCTCTGTGTGTATATACCTAATACCTAGTAATACCAATACCAATACTAATACCAATACCTAGTTCATCCACTAGCTGTCAGTCCCAACATGCTGCACCATTAACTGTGCATCAGTGTGTCAGAGAGTGGGATTTAGGACCTGGGGGAGGCTGTAGGACTACACAAGTGACTTTAATATTGTAGAGAGTTACTCTGTTCTCACTTTAACTGTTTAAAGTCCACAACAGTTGATCTAAATGAAAGTAAACGTTCAGACTGATGACCTGATTTTACTATTAGCTCTCCTGTCAGCGCTTCCCTTAGTCTTACGGCCCATTCACACGGGGCGTCAGCGTCAACGCTTCCCATTCACTTTGAATGGGTGACATCAGGCATTGTGGATCCATCGGTGTTGGTTCAGAGAAGTTGCGACAAGCTCAACTTTTCAAGCGCCGATGGATGCGTCAGCCAATCAGATCGCTGTATGCAAATACACCAGCTAGACAGTGGCCTATTGCTGATTGAATTTCATTGGATGACGCTGCTATGACGATCGCGTCAGCCCCAACTTCAGACACGCCTTCAGTCAAGCGTTGATGCTGAAGCCTTGTGTGAATGGGGCGTTACTGGATGTGAACAAGCCACGCCCACTGATTACATGTCACAGTATACACTGAATAAAAATATCAGGAACACTTTAATTTAAGGTGACGTACTTACACAGGATCCATGCACTTACTATAGTAAATACAGTGAATTATGCACACACTAAAAATGCAGGAATCCACACAACTCAAGTGCATTGGTTTTGACAAATTTAAGTGGATCGAACATAAAACTATTAAGTTGTCCAAAGAAAATCTCAAGAATTGTGTTGTTTTAGCTCTTTCTTAATCATTTTAAGTGAAATTACAAAAACACACATTTCAACCCCAACCACAGGATTTACATGAAGTTAATCACTATTACTCTGTGCTTAAATGAATAGTTACGTCACCTTAAAATAAAGGGTACCCAAAAAATCTTAGAAAGAATGAAAGCAGAAAAGCGAGCTGATGTCAGACATTTATTCCGGTTATTTGGATCCTCCTGTTAGATGCTTTGTACATTTCGTCTCCGCTGTGACCCTGTGTGTGGACCCTGTATTAACCCTGCTGATGTACAGCACAGAACTGCATACAGTCTTTACCTCTGGACAATATTAGAAGAGCTATTTGCATAATACCACTTTTCCCTCTCGGTTTTAGGATTATATGTGGATCGGGTACATGGTAAGACACACACACTTTCCTCCAGTGCACTGAAGATTGATCACAACTGAGGCCTGTCATGTGCTGATGTCAGATTATTAATGATGTTTATGACACACAGCAGTTATAGTGAAGTATTGCTGATTATTATTATGATCTTTCATCCATTCAGATTCAACTCCAATTGCTTAAAGGGTTAGTTCACGCAACAATGTCAAATGCACTATAATTTCCCTCAAGGCAGTCAATGCAATCGAAATTATTTTAGAAAGTGTCTTATTTCCAGCTCTATAATGGCGGTGATGGTGTGTTTCTATTCAGGTTTTTACAAAAAGTCCCATAATATGCATTAGTATAATAAAAATGGCTAAAATACAGAGGTTAATAAAGGTTTCCTGTTGCAAATTATAATATATCTGTAATAGATGTGTCTACAACACTCACCTGCTGCCTTTGGAAAGATGAGGAATGATTGTATTTGACCGGAATAAATGTCTTATATACTTCGGATGCCTTGAGGGTTGAGGAAATCATAGGCTACTTATCATTTTTGAGTGAACCAATCCTTTAAGCCAAAATGCATATGCAAACATGTGCTCAACCCTTGCTGGATCAGACCTCGGCACTCAGTGGGCTTTAGATTAATCTCCAATATAAAAAATGTAAACATTAAAATAATAATTGAACTGTTGTTAATAGTCCTTAAAGGGACAGTTCACCTAAACAAATGAAGGAGTACTCATTATTTGCTTACCCTCAAGTGGTTTTGTTTAACACAAAAGAAGATAGTTTGAAGAATGCTGGAAACCTGTAACTATTGACTTGTAGATTGTAGGAATTAAATATTGTTGAAGTCAATAGTTACAGCTTTTTTCAAACTATCTTCTTTTGTGTTCACCAGAAACGTATAGAGTACCTCTCAAGCTCTATCAGGTTAAATGGGAAGCGACGGTGTGCAGCCATTTTCAGATCTCTCCAGAGATGTTCAATAGGATTTAGGTCTGGGCTCTGGCTGGGCCACTCAAGGACATTCACCGAGTTGTTGTGAAGCCGCTCCATTGATATTGTGTTGGTGTGCTTTGGGTCATTGTCCTGCTCTTGTCTGAGGTGGAGAGCACTCTTGTGCAGGTCTTCATTCAGGATGTCTCTGTACATCGCTGCATTCATCTTTCCCTCTATCCTGACTAGTCTTCCAGCTCCTGCTGCTGAAACACATCCCCACAGCATGATGCCAACACCACCATGCTGCACTGTAGGGATGCTGTTAGCCTGCTGATGAGTGCTTTTCTCCAAATGTAACGCCTGGCGTTCACTCCAAACAGTTCAGTTTGAGTCTGATCAGAGCAGAGAGTTTAGTTTCTGAAATGTAAAGAGGTTTGATATAGGTGGATGAGTAAATGATGACACATTTTAGGGTGAACTATCTCTTTGGGGGGGGGGGGGGGGTTATCTTGAAATTTCTGTATTTCGAGTTTTTATTTACAGTGTTAAGTAAGATTCTCATGCAGATCAGAGACCAACTAAAAATGATTTGCACGTATGACAGTGTTGCTTTGAATAATGAAGTCATTGGAATCAGTTTTGGATAAATTTTTTTAAACGCTGCTCTTGATGACATCACAAGGGTGGAGGAACTCCTTATATGGACATTTCAGAACACACCACTAGGTGCTTGCTTATTTCTGGAAGCAGCGTGAAGCAGATATTTCACTCTTATTATTAAAAACAGCACTCTTTAGAGACTCTTGGAGAGATTATTAATAGGAAATTGGGCAAAATGTTTCTTATTATATAGTGATTCTCTAATCACTCCCACATTTAAAGGCACAGTTCACCTCAAAATGACAATTCTGTCAATATTTACTCACTGCTTTCATCGAAATAATCTGCCAGTGAGGTAAGTAAAATTATACAGTTTTCACTTTAAAATACGATTATTCTGCTTCCCACAATTGCTTTGACGATCCAAGGGAAGAGATGATTTCAAGGTATCCATAATCCTGGACCAGGCCGTATCCCGAGCTGATGCTGTGGGGGTCATGGAGGAAAGGAGAGCATGACTGATTCCTGAAAGACCACCATGACCGATGAGTCTCCGCATTGATCCTGTGGACCAGTCTGACCACCGGCCGGTGACCTGCTCACACCTGTAGCTTCTCCACGATGGACGTCCAGCTTCTCCAGCCTCCGGCGCCTAGACTGCAGCTCCACACAGTAAGTTTGGCTAAAAGTGTAATGGTCGTGTCCAACAATGCCTGGTCTTTCTCAAGGTTTTTTTTCCCTTCACTTCATCAGTTGGTGAAGTTGGCTCCTCCACCGTCACCACTGGCTTGCTCAGATCAGTGGATTTGCTCTTCAGTGTTTGGACTTTCAGCAGGGAAATTTAACCCACACTGAACTGAACTGATCCTTGTATTCTCAGTGTTTGTGACGCATTGCTTTTATCCTTGACTGTGAAATCCTCTTTAGTTTGAGGCGTTGGTGTGTAGTGCTACATCATGCCTACATCTCCCATAATGCAGCAGGCACATGGAGAAGACTCGGGCTGCGTTCCAATCCACTTATACACACTGGCGAACTTCCCTTGTTCCTTCGAGGAAGTCCCCAAAGCCATTTTCAAGGGTTTTCCACTTCATCAAGTGAACAAGGGAAGCTTACATGGACTCTCGATGTAGACCGAGTAAGTGAGTAGGCTTCATATGTCCACGAACACCTATACATCCCATAATGCAATGCAGCCCAGACTGCTTTCCAGTCCACATTTAGAAACACACTTGTGAACTTCCCTTCACTTGTCCCCTTGGGGGAATGCCTGTTACTGTTTTCAAATGCGTTCCACTTCAAGTAAACAAGGGAATTGTACATTATCTTGATCCCTTGATTTTGACCAAGGGAGAGTCGGCTTCATATGTCCACTACAGCACCTGTATGTCCCAGAATGCAACACGATTGTGGTGTTACAATAGCGTGGTTCTCAAGGGTTTAGGGTGTTTCATTTAAACCCCTTCAGCTGCTCCACCAATAGTGAACACTAGTGTGAAAATCAACAATGTACATCCGAGGGAATGAGACGGAGGGAAGTTAGCGAGTGAAGGGAATACAAAATTAGCCTGAATGCAGCCGTAGTTCCTAAGGGTTTAGGACGTTCCATTTAAACCAATTGAGACGCTCTGCCAAAAGTGAACACTTGTGTAACATAATCAGTGATGTACATTCGAGGGGATGAGACAGTGAACACATTGAATTGGAACGCAGCCTCACAATGGGTTCCATTGGGAAGGGCTCATCCCTTAAAGGTCCCTTTGAAGGGGTTAGAGCATAGGGATCTAAATGAAGTGCACTGTGTGACACGAAACAGCTTTCCTGCTTAAAAGCCTGAAGCCTTTACTTGTTCCCTACCATTTTAAAGTGCGATCCACTTCATCAAGTGAACAAGGGAAGTTTACATGCACTTGACCCTCGATTTTGACCAAGAAGGCTTCATATGTCCACTCCACCATCCACATGTCCCAGAATGCAATGCAATTGTGGTGGACAGCAGTGTAGTTCCCTAGTGTTCAAGAGTTTAGGGCTCTCCAATTGAACCCATTCAGATGCTCCACCAGTAGTGTACACTTGCGCAACAATCAGTGCCATACATATAAAGGAATGAGACTGTGGGAAGTTAGCGAGTGATACAAAATACGCACTGCAGTCGTAGTTCCCAAGTGCTTAAGGGTTAAGGGCGTTCCATTTAATCCCATTCAGATGCTCCACCAGTGATGGACACTAGGGGGATAACCAATAACATACATTCAAGGGAACAAGAAATAATTTGGACTGGAATGCAGCCTCACACTGGGTTCCCTTGGGAGGGGCTCATCCCTACGCCATAATCCCTACTGAGGATCCCTCTAAAGGGGTTAGAGCATAGGGACCTGAATTAAGTGCACTGTGTGACACCAAACAGCTTTCCTGCTTTAGGGATCATAGCCTGACGTGTTCATCGATATATCCCATTTGGAACGTCGCTGTGTCAGCCTAGGCTGCGTTCCAGTCCACTTTTAGAAACACATTTGCGAACTTCCCTTTACTTGTTCCCTGCTACCATTTTAAAGTGCGATCCACCTCATCAAGTGATCGAGGGAAGTTTGCATGGACTCGATCCCTCGATTTTGACCAAGAAGGTGAGTCGGCTTCAAATGTCCACTCCACTACCTGTATGTCCCAGAATGCAATGCAATTGTGTTGGCACAACAATGTAGTTCCCTAGTGCTCAAGGCTTTAGGGCTCCACCAGTAGTGGACACTAGGGTGATAATCAATGACATACTCTCGAAAGAGCAAGACAGAGTGAATAAATTGGACTGGAATGCAGCCTCACACTGGGTTCCATTGGGAAGGGCTCATCCCTACGCCATAATCCCTACTGAGGGTTCTTCTGAAGGGGTTAGAGCATAGGGATCTAAATTAAGTGCACTGTGTGACACCAAACAGCTTTTCTGCATCAAGTGTTCATCAGCTGTATTTATCCTAAAAAGTCCTTAATTCCCAAAGGGCCCTTAAAAGTGGTCAGTTCTGAGCTCTTCAGTTTGGAACGTCACTTCAATATGGCGGCCATTTATTTATTTATTTCCTCCATAGTGCCCTTAAAAGGGCGATATATCCCATTTGGAACATCACCGTGTCCCAAAATCCATCATCTTAAGAAAGAGTGCACTTTCGGCCCATATTAAATAAAGGGATTGCATCATCTTGATGTGGGATCTCCGTGTGTGTGTGTGTGTGTGTGTGTGTGTGTGTGTGTGTGGATCCCGAAGGTTCCTATTTTTGAAGGGGATTCTCTAATCTCCACATGACAGCTGTGTTTGTTACCCAGAAGCCCCTGCTGTGTGGTTCTCAGGGCTGCTGGGATTGCGAGCGCTCTATCTTCAGCATGGGCTCGGTGTTTTCCGAGTCGCTGTGGTGTTTTCGGTCCCTCGTCTGCTGCTCTGCTTTTCCACCGCGGGTCCATGATGGCGAGCGCACGTATCCGCTGTGAGGGAATCTGGGTAGCGGCGGCTGCTGGCGGTCTGTGGGGTCAACTTACACAAAGCAGCCAATCAAAAACGGGATCACACACATACACACACACACACCAGTCACAAATCTCACATCATATACAGTTGAAATCAGAATTATTAACCCCCCTTTACATGTAGATTTCTTCAAATATTTCCCAAATGATGTTGAACAGATTCAGGAAATGTTCACAGTATGTCTGATAATATTTATTCTTCTGGAAAAAGTCTTATTTGTTTTATTTCGGCTAGAATAAAAGCAGTTTCTAGTTTTTTAAAAGCTGTTTTAAGGTCATTATTAGCCCTTTAAGCTATATTTGTTTGATAGTCTCCAGAACAAACCATCGTTATACAATAACTTGCCTAATTACCCTAACCTGCCTAGTTACCCTAATTACCCTAGTGAAGCCTTTAAATGTCATTTTAATCTGTATAGAAGTGTCTTGAATTAATATTATTTACTGTCATCATGACAAAGAGAAAATAAAACAGTTATTAGAGATGAGTTATTAACACTATTATGATCAGAAATGTGTTGGAGAAATCTGCTCTCCGTTAAACAGAAATTAAAAAATTAACAGGGGCGATAATAATTCTGACTTCAACTGTATAAGGATATGAGATGACTTATATAGTGATATACAGTGATTAATAAGCAGTGCAATCTGAGCAGCATCCAATGCGTTTTAATGGGCTCACCTAACTCCACCCCTAACCCCACCCCTCACAGTGATGTCACTTGCTTAATTTGAGTGCAGTGTGTCTGACGTTGTGGCTTGCAATCTCAGCTTGCATCATAAAGGCGGCATCCAGATACTATTGGATCTTATAGTCTTAATCCACATATTTTATGCACATTTTGGATTATTACATACAAATGCTTCATGATAATTCCAAAATTAGCATGAATAAAAACCTTGAACACAACTGAGCAGGATTTTATGTATGTATATATATATATATATATATATATATATATATATATATATATATTTGAAAAGGAAACATATGCATAAATTATGATAGAAAAACACATTTTCTGTGGTGGGGGATTGGAACGTGAGGGAGAGTAATTAATAACAGACCTTTTATTTTTGAGTGAACTAACCCTTTAATATGAACTCATGCCAACCTGATTCCACCAAGTAGGACATGATCCTGGATTAGCAACTTTCCCGTCAGCCAATCAGAATTAAGGGATGTGTTTCTGTTTATGTTATGTTTAGGCTTACGCTTGGGTTTATCCAAGTCTAGATGATTGTTATCCCACTCTGATTTTGGGGATAATGTACAGTTATGGTTTGATTTAGGGGTGGGGAATGGGTATGGAGTACTTAATCGAACAAAAACGATGTTCCAGGATCAACATAGATGTTAATCCAAAATTTACTTAGCAAAATCATGACATGCAGTGTGTATGGGTGTTTCCCAGTACAACACATGCTAGAATAGATGGCGGTTCATTCCGCTGTGGCAACCCCTTATGAATAAAGAGACTAAACCAAAGGAAAATGAATGAATGAATGAAAAAGCTGCTGGGTAACTGGTGCACACCCTCGGTTTCAGGCACGTCATGATTTTGCCCCCAGCAGGTTTTTAGCAAATGCTTATCTAAATCTCTCATAATGAAGAGCACAGATGTCATTGGCTCACAGTTTAAATATTTAATATGTACACATTTGTGCACTTCAGCAGCTCAGAGCATCATCAAATAATAATAATAACGTGTTCGCTGTGGAGATCCATGGAAACACTGAACTACTGTGTGTGGACCGTCAACACGGCTCTGCTGAACACAGCAGCAGATCTTCTGAAGAACTGTAGCTAAAGTCATTTAGAAGTGTAATATGCAAATAGCAATATGTAAAACAAAATAGCTATGCTTTTATTTATTTGAATTAGCATTCGGTGGACACGGCGGCTCAGTGGTTAGCACTGTCAGCAAGAAGGCTGCTGGTTCGAGTCCCGGCTGGGTCAATTGGCGTTATTTTCTCCCCGTGTTGGCGTGGGTTTCCTCCGGGTGCTCCGGTTTCCCCCACAGTCCAAACACATGCGCCTTCAGCTTGATTAACGTATGTTTCTTAAAGGGGCGGTTCATCCAGAAATTAAAACGGTCATAATTTACTCACTCATCACTTGAGAGTCTTTCTCACGTTGAACACAAAAGAAGATACTTTGAAGAATGCTGGTTGAAGACACCCACTGACTTCCATTTGAACCACTTGAGGATGAGTAAATGGTGAGTAAATCTTCATTCTTGGGTGAGCTAAATGCTTTTAAAACTTTAAAACAGCTATTGTTGGCACATACTGTATGTGTGCTCCTGCAAACTAATCTAAAGTTAAATTAAGATCATAAGCATATTTTCATCAGTATTTAAAATAAGAAAAGTAAAATTCCAATAGGCATTTGGTCAGAAGAACTGCATTAAAGGGATAGTCATTTATACACTCTTACGGTTTACTGTATTTATTTCCAGTGAACATATATTGGAAACCCATAACCACTGAATTCTATAGTATTTGTTTTTCCTGCAATGAAAGCCAATGGATTTCAGCATTCTTCAAAATATCTTCTTTTGTGTTCAACAGAATACAGAATCTCATGATTATAACCACTTGAGAGACTAAATGGTGAGTAAATTTAATGTTTCGTGTGAACTGACCCTTTAATTCAACCCTTCTGTGGAAGTCAATGGTTACAGGTTTTTAACATTCTTCAAAATATCTTCTTTTGTGTTCAACAGAACAAAAAAATCATAAAGATTTATAACCACTTAAAAAGATAGTTCATCCAAATAAACAATTCGGTCATCATTCACTTGCACTTGTTTTAAACCTTCATGTGTTCTGTTAAACACAAAAGAAGATATTTTGAAGAATGCAGGAAACCTGTAACCATTGACTTCTATAGTATTTGTTTTACCTACTATAAAAGTCAATGGTTTTCAGCATTCTTCGAAATATCTTCTTTTGTGTTCAACAGAAGAAAGAAACTCATAAAGGTTTATAACGCTACACTCATTGTATTTACTAAATGTTTAAGGTGAAAACAATTCCCATTGGCTGAATTTAAGCAAATTAAAACAAATTAATTTGGAACATTATTTCATTTCATTTGTTTGTTTAATTTCAGCACATATAAATTGATGTAATATGTAGCAAATCCAATGAATATTTTTTTCAGCGTCGAGGGAGAGTAAATAGTGAGTGAATAAGTTTTGTGTGAACAGACCCTTTAACGGTGTTGTGTTGATCCCTGCAGCTCTTGACTTCTCCAACTTTAATATTTTTGAGGACTGTAATGATTTATGAATGAAATGTGGTTTATTTTTGTAAATCAGACTCACTTGCAGGGGAATATGTGTGGTTTTCATCATCTGAGTCGGCGAACACTTCTCCCAGCTCCTGGTCCGACATGTCTGTGAGCTCCGTCAGGTCCAGCAGATCAAAGTGAACCTCCAGAGAGGACACACTGCTGAGTGGCTCTGAGACACACACACACACACACACACACACACACTAGTCAACATACACCCAGAGTGATGACCTGAACGCAGATTTTTCATGCTTCACTGATATATTGGGCAACAGTGCACTGATTTTTAAAAAATTAACAGTTTCCAGTGGCACGGTGGCTCAGTGGTTAGCTCTGTGGCCACAAAGCAAGAAGGTCATTGGTTTGAGTCCCAGCTGGGTCAGTTGGTGTTTCTGTGTGGAGTTTGCATGTTCTCCCCATGTTAGCGTGGGTTTCTTCCGGGTGCCCCAGTTTCTACTGGCCGTAGTGTATGAGTGCGAGTGTGAATGAGTGTGTATAGGTGTTTCCCAGTGATGGGTTGCAGCTTGAAGAGAACATATGCTGGAATAGTTGGCGGTTCATTCCGCTGTGGCGAGCCCTGATAAATAAAGGGACTAAGCCGACAGAGGATGAATGAATGCACAGTTTCCATATTGTGTGTTTTGGGTTTATTTGTGGTGGTGAATTGCATTGTGGGATGTTGACCTCTGCTGTGTCCACTTCTGATGTTGAAAATTCATTATAATACACAGCCGTGCATTAAACAGATGTAATGTCTATTTTGGGTGAAACATGAGCCAGGTGTGATCTTGTCAGGTCAGTGTTTGACTCACGTCGTTTCTCTGTGATCAGCACCTGGCTGCCATGATGTGCCGGAGTACCGACATGCTCTCCTGAGGCATTATGGGATGCCTCGCTGGTGAGACTGGCAGAGCTGGAGGACTTCAGAAGCTTCTGGAACTCTCTGTCTCTAAGAGGCTCTGCAAAGAAACATAGAACAATGCAAACAGGGAAGTTCTTTACTGCAGACAGCGCTCTAGGCTAGTGTTTAACAGCAGACGGCGCTCTAGGCTAGTGTTTAACAACAGATGGCGCTCTAGGCTAACAGCAGATAGCACTCTAGGCTAGTGTTTAACAGCAGATGGCACTCTAGGCTAACAGTAGATGGTGCTCTAAGCTAGTGTTTAACAGCAGATGGCGCTCTAGGCTAACAGCAGATGGCACTAATCTAACAGCATATGGCGCTCTAGGCTAGTGTTTAAACAGCAGACGGCGCTCTAGGCAAGTGTTTAACAGTAAATGGCGCTCTAGGCTAGTGTTTACCAGCAGATGGCGCTCTAGGCTAATGTTTAAACAGCAGACGGCGCTCTAGGCAAGTGTTTAACAGCAAATGTTGCTCAGTGGCCAGTGTTTACCAGCAGATGGCACTCTAGGCTAACAGCAGATGGCGCTCTAGGCTGTTTTTACAATAGTTATCACTCTAGGGTAGTGTTTAACAGCAGACAGCGTGCTAAGGCTAGTTTTTAAAACCAGATGGACCGCTAGGCTAGATTTTAAACAACAGATGCCATTCTAGGCTAGTGTTTAACAACACACTGCTCTAGGTTAATGTTTAAACAGCAGACATCGCTCTAGGCTAGTGTTTAACAACACACTACTCTAGGTTAATGTTTAAACAGCAGACATCGCTCTAGGCTAGTGTTTAACAACACACTGCTCTAGGTTATTGTTTAAACATCAGTCGTTGCTCTAGGCTAGTTTTTTGACAGTAGATGGCGCTCTAGGCTAGTGTTTAACAACAGATGTTGCTCTAGGGTAGTGTTTACCAACACAATGCTCTAGGTTAATGTTTAAACAGCAGACATCGCTCTAGGCTAGTGTTTTAACAGCAGTTGTTGCTCTAGGCTAGTGTTTTACCAGTAGATGGCGCTCTAGGCTAGTGTTTAACAACACACACTACTCTAGGATAGTTTTTTAACAGTAGAGACGGCGCTAAAGGCTATTGTTTAATCAGCAGACATCGCTCTAGGCTAGTGTTTAAACAGCAGACATCGCTTTAGGCAAGTGTTTACACAGCAGACATTGCTCTAGACTGGTGTTTAACAACAGATGTTGCTCTAGGCTTGTGTTTTAACAGCAGTCGTCGCTCTAGGCTAGTGTTTAACAGCAGACGTCGCTCTAGGGTAGTGTTTAACAGCAGACGTCGCTTTAGGCTAGTGTTTAAAAGCTGATGTCGCTCTAGGGTAGTGTTTAACAGCAGACGTCGCTCTAGGGTAGTGTTTAACAACAGACGTCGCTCTAAGCTAGTGTTTATCAACAGATGTTGCTCTAGGCTAGTGTTTAAGCAGCAGTCATCGCTCTAGGCTAGTGTTTTAACAGTAGATGGCGCTCTAGGATAGGGTTTAAACAGCAGACAACGCTCTAAGGCTAGTTTTTGACAGCAGATGGCACTCTAGGCTAGATTTCAAACACGCCATTCTAGGCTAATGTTTAACAACAGACAGCGCTCTAGGCTAGTTTTAAACAGCAGATGTCGCTCTATGGCTAGCTTTTTAACAGCATTTTGGGCTAGTTTTTAAAAACAGAGGGTCCTTTAGGCTAGTTTTAGTTTCTAGTTAGCTGTAAATACATGCCCTCTAGTAGACAAAACAGCATACTGTGCCTTTAAGATGCATTGTCAATATGGGCCCTAATAATTGTTAGTGCACCTCTGCAGTGTGCTGTTACTAGGTCAGCTGTTAGTGCACTACGATGCAGTTTCTACACTGTTCTGAGTGTTTGTTTTGGCTATGGAGCGGCTGGAATCCTCTGGTCAGTTTAGCTGCTAGTAAACAGGTTCTGCTTTGTAGGGTTCTGGGGTTTTCTCAGTCACAGTTCAGCTCTCCATCTCTCATGTGTGCTTCTCTAATGGGTTTGTCAGCGGTTGAAACAGAAGATGCTTGTGTTTAAAGAGCTTCCAGACATCTATTGATTTCTTGCGGCAGTAGTCAAAGCAGACCAGTGCTTTCTATCGTCGAGGGCAGTTCAATTACACACAAGGGACATGGAAACAAGTGCACGACTGGATCTGCGGGATCGGGAAACATTTCCCTGCGTGTGAGAAAGTCTGCAGTGGTACTCCTCATTATTTTAATAACAACACTGCATTTATTTATTTTTTTTAGCTCCAAAACTAATTAAATTTTTTTTTCTCTTCAAATTTTTCCAAAAATGCACCTCAGCACATAATGTAGACAAAATATTTGGTCACGCTTTATAATAATGTACAATTCACACTATTACTGGAACAGTACTGTCTCAATGTGATCTTCTGGCTAAATAAAGGAAATCATAAATAATAATAAATTAACAAACCATATAACTTTTAGCTCAATAAACTTCTAATTTGCTGTTTAGTGTTAGTTAAAAAGGTAATAGTTGGGTTTAGATATTGATTAGGGATGTAGAATAAGATCATAACTACTAATAAACTGTTGATATATTAATGATGGCCAGGTAATAAATAATGAGAATTGTTACTTAAATTAAAGTATTTAACATGCATGAAAAGAGAATGAGGCCATTATCCTCTGGTACCAGCAGGGGCTGTGCTGACTCTTAATTAATTACTATGAATTAATAGTTTGATCCCCATATCTGTCCCAATATTGACATTTTCCAGTACACTTTTTGTCTGAATCTGAACTTATCTACACAAACTATTAATAACATCCATGTATCCCCTATAATATGATGTACATTTGACTATTTAATGCGTAAAATAATAATAATAACTACATTGAATTAACATTTAACTGACAGGCTCGCATTTTTGGAGGTAGATTGAACCAAATTCCGTATATCAGTAACTTTATTACCTATATTAACTATATTAATGTTTAGTCGCACATTTGGTGATGTGATGATCCAGAGTTTTCCCGTTCTCCGCAGTCTGCGGGTCATCCCTCCCTCATTAGCCCACACACAGCAGATTCCTCAGCCTGCTGCTCTTTCTGTGCGTGCCGCTCATGCAAATATTGCTGCGTGCATTGCAATGCATTTGCTTATTCCAGAAGGATGCAACCTATACACGCCAAGATGCACTATATTTTTAGCATCCCTCAGTGGTACCCAACTCCCATTGTCCCAAAGCAGCCGCCGCAAAAGATGCAACCCAATGTCAAACCTGGAAAAAGGGTCACATCCAAAACCTTCCAGCTAAATTAATGCACAATAATGCATGCAAGTTTCCCCATGTGCATCAATGCAAGCTGATCACCGCCAAGCACTACCGGCTTCCTCTGACTGCCTGCTTTGTCTGTCCGTCCAAGAAAAAAAAAGGGCACGGTGGCAGCGCTACAACAACAGGCTATTGAATGCACGCGTTTAAATGCATGGCAGCGTGTCCGGCTGAAGAAGTGTTCGCTCTTACCTGCAGCACTGGAGTCTGCCTGAGCCTCCATTAAGTCTATCGCAGTGCTGGTTGGCGTCGCAGCCGGGATTAGAGGGAGCGCCTCCTGCCTCGTGCACGCTCTCTGTCTCTCTCTCTCTCTCTCTCTTTTCCCCACCCCTACATGCACAGTCACACATCCACTGCCATTGTCACTGCAGCACACACACACACACACACACACACACACAACAGAGGCACATAAAGAGTCCCACTAGAGAGAACTCACACACACTGCATGACACACCAAAACAGCGGACGAGAGAGGGAGAGAGAGAGGGTGGTGCCCCTAGGCAATAAAGAGGATTTATATACAGGAGGCGGAGGGCTATTCCTCTATCAGCAGCATTTTGGCAATAAGAAGAAGTGTATGGGGAACAAAGATGCGCATTTGAGTTTAAATTTAAAATATTATATGAATCATATAATAAATAATTAAATATAATTATAATTAATAATTAAATATAAATAAATATAATATAAATAAATATAATAAATAATAAATAATTATTTATATTAAATAATTAAAAAATAATTATTTATATTAAATTATTTATATAATAAATAATTTAATATATAATTAAATTTCAGTATGTTGAAGTACTTAAAGGACACCCTGGAGAACTTTTTTTTATATTAACAGATTTGTGTGTGTTGTTTATGTGAGCATCAGTTAAGGCAATGTTAGCACCTGTCAGCTTTAATTGTGGGGAAAACTGGATAATTTTGAGCTTTTGTCAGCTCAATTCAGCTTCCGGGTTTAAAATGATTTTTGGGGCGGATCAAAATCGGTGACGTAGCGCAGAACTGCAAGTGCAATGATGACGCGTCGGTTTCTCATTATTATTCATAGCGGAGTTTTCTTATCCTATGAGAAGAGCCGGCTGCTTAATTATTCATGAGACCGGCCAGAGTCAAGCCGGAGCTGAGAGACACGGACCCACGGCACACAGTATTTAGCCGTTCATGGAGGCTCATATGTGTTTGTTTCCATGATCCACGCGGTTTGTTGCATGTTTTCCCCCGCGATGCTGTCAGGGCTGATCATACAGCAAAGCTGTGTGTGTGCTGCTAGCATTTTTGTCGGGAGAGCAGTGCAAGAATTGGAGAATGGCGGACGCTGTCTTTTATCAGGAGTTTGTTCACATTCAGACACATCGCCGTGCTGCTGTGTTTGCCTAAATCCTCCAGATTAGCAGCAGGGCTAACGGTTAAAATAGACAGGTCAGGAGACCTGCTGCACTGAGTCTGCTGGATACGGGGATTGAGGAAGAATCCTCATTTATAGGGTTTACATGAACACACTTATCTTTATAATGATGTAAATTATGTGTATGGGTATGTGTATATGAAATTACGAATAACAAATGTAGCAGGGCATTAAATCACTGTTCATTTCTTTGCATTTTAACTTTGTAAACTATAAACTCATGCGTCTCCTCACGGTTTGTCTCATTTTGTGAGCTGACTGACAACAACAGTTGTTCGCTCACGTTCTCCCCTGCTGGCCACGCCCACTCCTGCCCGATGCTCACGGAGCTCCGCCCCCATTAATCATGCATCTTTTGAAAAAATCCTAAAGTAGACTTTAACCGAAAGTGCGGGGTGTCATGGCCCTTTAAAACTAAATATTGATTAGAGGCATGGCTTTTGGGTGCGCCTGAATACGCATACTTCCATATTATATAGTACGCTATAATCTGTATGCGAGCAGAGTAGTATGTCTGAATTCATAGAATTGGAAAATGCAACCCTGGCACATTCTGAAAACGTAGACCCACGGACGTTTCTGGAAACCGCGAATTCGTAGCCGGAGGTACATAAGGCTGCTTTTAATTTCTTTAAGCGAACGCTATGGGGCAGTATGACGCCGTTCCTTTTGGCGCTCACTGGCTGATTGCTTACCTCCATGTGGAGGGCTTTCCCACTGCAACCAGTTTGTCCGGTTAGCTCGTTGTGTACGTTGGCGGACTTGAGACGCAGAGAGGAGTTGACCACAATGACGATGACTGGGTTCGAGTTCGGGGAAGAACGGTTCTAGAAATCAGGTAAGACAAAAATCTGAATCCGAAAAATAAAATAAACAAGTGAATAACAGGGTGAGGATGTGGTAAAATCCGAAAACGTGGTAAAAATCAGATGAGGGCGTTTCTTTTTTCTGGACGGCTTTTGTTAACCGTTGGTTGAGTTCAGGGGAAGTGAGCGGGTGAGGGGCGGGTCAATCGGTAAAATTGGGTGGGTTCAGGGAAGGAGGAGGGTGGGTCCGTTGATTGGCCGGTCGCCCAGTCAATCATTCAGTCGGTTGGTCGACAGCGGCCTCTGGTGGGTTTACACCAGAACAGCGTGGGTGCGAACGGCACTTGCGAAAGACATTTGAAATGCGAAAAAGCGCACACAGCAGCCTCTCGCGGATTCACGAAAACAAAAACTGCAAAAATACATACCTCCCGGTATTTTGCGGTCTCCAGAAACGTTCACGGGACTACGTTTTCAGAATTAGCCTGGGTTTGGAAAATCAGTATGCGAGAAGTACCCAGATGACTTACTACTTCCGGCGAGATTCTAAAATGCTCATCTGATATATCAGCAGTTTCTGAAATACTCAGAGCAGCCCGTCTGGCAGCAACAACCATGCCACGTTCAAAGTCTCTTAAATCCCCTTTCTTCCCCATTCTGATGCTCGCTTTGAACTGCAGCAGATCCTCCTGACCATGTTTACATGCCGAAATGCAGTGAGCTGCTGCCATGTGATTGGCTGATTAGACATTTGCATTAACGAGCAGATGAACAGGTGTACCTAATAAAGTGGCCGGTGAGTGTGTATTTTTAGTTGCATTAACCTGCATGGTGTAAACTCTTTCTCATATTTCTGGCCTTTGCTGTTGAAAATGACACATTTATTTCCCTCACAGCAGCTTGTCATTTTTCTGCTTTTAAGCTTTCTGAAAGACCTTCCCATGATTTATTCTCAAACTGTGGGCGAGATTTAGTTTCTCATTGTGGGAGTTTTTCTGAGGAATTCAAAAGAGTCTTTTAGCGTTTGATCTTCTGTTTTGGCACTCGATTACAGCGGCGGCCAGGAATGACAGAAGATATGAAGCTTCATTTCTGCGTCACACTGAGAGACAGAAAGAGCAGGAGAACAGCTGAAAACCCCATTCGTCTCTTCAGCTCCGTCTCATTTATACAAGATAAACTTACCGTAAAAAACATCTGTAAATTCACCGCGTCCATACAAGCATTTCTGTTTATTTGCCTTGGTGAATGCTCAGGTTCTGCTCTGCTCACTTCTGATGTGGAAAATTCAACTGTACAGATTAACAAAGTGACTTTTAGTGACATTTTAGTAGTTTGAGGTAATATAACGCAGAATAAATAATTAAGAAATGTTTAAATTAACAGAAATGTTCTGGCATTATAAGGTTTTTGTAGCGTAATATACAACACCACCCCAGACAAGTATATAGCACTTTTAAACTATTAAAAATGTCCATAAAAGTCACTTTTCACGGTTAAAAGTTGTTGGAAGAAAGATCAACATCCCATAATGCAATTCAAAAGCAGGATAATAAAAGGGGATGAATAAAACATGAATCACTTTAAAAAACTCCTTATTTACATATATATTGTTTAACAGTGTAGTGTTGTCATGATACTGGACTTTCTAACTTTGATATGATATCTTGAAAAATATTGATATTCAATATCATTTTCGATTCCATGGGGAACAAATTTTGCAACACTGACCCTCCTGTTACTCCAAAATCTGCTAACAGTTTTTCCCAAATGGGGTCAATTTGACCCCAGCATCTTAAAACCTCCAGAATCTGATTTATTTATTTTTTTTGGCGAAAGGTTAGTGTCAGGTAATGGATGTCTTCTTTGTCACGCTCTCATCTGCCTTGCCTTGTTTCTTTGTCATCAAAGCATATGATACGGGAGAAAACAGAGAGACATGATGACTCAAAATATTGACCCTCCAGTTGCTGGTGGTTGAGAGACAACAAGAGGGTCAACACTAGAAGTCTCATTGTCATCTGAGGAGGATGCCTCATAATAAGGGTCCTCCTCAAGATTATCCTGTCTCAGACACTTTCTCCTCTATTTCACTTTCACCGACAGAAAACCTTTGCTTATTTTCAGTTGAGAGAGCATAAAGAGAGAGCCCACAGAGCACAATGGGAAAGAGTTTAGAAAGCGTTTGTAGCTTTGCACCTGCCCTGTAAACCATGTGAATTGTTTTCCCCTCCCACTAGAAAAAATTGTTTTAGCATTGAATGACCCCATTTGCATTGATCAAATTGAACATAAAGATAATAGACGGGTTAGAAGCATACAAATTAAGTAAAAAAGCTACTTTTTTTTTTTTTTTTACAAAATTACCAAAAAAATAAATAAATTAATTAATTAATGCAATTTCATCTTATTTTCTAAATAAAACAAAAGTGTTAAAATCTTAATATTATTATTAATTATTATTTCTCTGCAGGTGAGAGGAGAAAGCAAAGCCGGTACTAACCAAAAACAAGACTGCATCATTTAAAATACTTCAGTATCAATGTTTATCAATATATTAATATTTTAGACAACACTAATAGGAGGCATCCAGAAAACAAAAAATGTGCATTTGGTTATTTTGGGGACCAATCTTGAAACATTATAAAAAACATACTGAGAATATACTTGAAAAGATATTTGGAATTCAACCAATTATTTAATTCAACAAGATCTAAAAATTGGCTATCTGGTACACTCAAACATTTATTCACACTAATAAAGTGCATTTATTGTAACATTAAAGCATGAAAGAAACACTGCACTTTTAATGCACTTAAAATAGGCTCATTTTATATAGGTAAACAGTTGAGTTTGACCATTTTTTGAATCCATTCAGCTGAATTTGCTTTTAGCTTAGCTTAGCATAAATCATTGAATCGGATTAGACCATTAGCATTTCACTCCAAAAATAAATTAAAATGAAGAGTTTGATATTTTTCCTATTTAAAGCCGAACTCTTCTGTAGTTACATTTGTTTACTAAGAACTACAGAAATGAAAAGCTGCTATTTCCAGGATGATATGGCTAGAAATATATTATCATTCTGGCTTAATAATCAAGTAACTGCTGTCAAACCACAGCTGCAGCAGCGCAATGATATAAAACACCAATGTTACTACAGAAGAGGTAAGCTTTAAATAGAAAATGATCATAACTATTTTTTTTGCAGTTGTTTTGAATGAGATGCTAATGGTCTAATCCGATTCAATCAACTATGCTAAGCTAAGCTAAACCTGAAGATTGGCTAAATAGATTACAAACTGATCAACTATTAAATTATAGTTGACTTGAAAAATGAACATATTTCCAAAAAAGTGTAGTGTTGCTTAAATATATGTTAAAATCGTATCGTTTTTTTAATAATACAATTAAACCAAGTAAAAAATGTAAGTAAAATATAAAAAATGTGTCAGGAACTTTTATTAGTTATAATTTATGTTAATTATAGAAGAAAAACAAGCACTATTAGAGCTAATCATAATCATATGATCAAGTCTATCGCTAATAATCACTCAGGCCTGCGTACAGTCGAACAATAATAATCTGTCAGATCCAGGGTAGCGGTCGTGCGCATGCGCAGGAAGGGGGAGGAGTCGCTGGAAAAAAGGTGAATGGCTGTTGTGGCTGCTAAGCTGATCAGATGGAGAAAAAGCACACGAAAAGCCTCCCGAGTGTGAAGCTGACCACACTACACGTGCTGTAAAGCCTCCATGAGGATTTTATGACAGAGTTCATCTCTCTTTCTGTGCGCCCTGCTCTTCAAGCCGAGGGTGAGAGAGTCGCTTCCTCTGAGCTCATGAGGCTTTAGCATGCTAGCATGCCCTCTGATTTTATATCTCTCCTGAGCGCCGATATCGACCCCAGTTCTCCCAAATCTCTCTATTCCAAAGGTAAGAGCTCCTCGTTGTTCTAAAGCCTTCTGGTTTTATTCATTCACACTCGCGCGAGTGTGTGTGGAGGTGTTTAGTGTTGCCTGAGTGTGAATAATCGCTAACGTCACTTAGCGCGAGAAGAGAAGAGCACGCGCTGCCGCTCTGTGTGTGCGTGCGTGTATATGCGTGAGTGTATTTATAAACCTGTGTGTGTGTGAGTCGATGTGTGTGAGTGAGCACGACTTTATATCTATACATGTGTGTGAATGTGTGCGTGTGTATGAGCGAGAGAGAGAGAGTGGGTGTGTGTTTGTTTACATTTACACACAATGTAAGAGACTCGTGGCTCCGAGACAACCTCCCTCTCTCTCTCTCTCTCTCTCTCTCTCTCTCTCAATATTAAAATAAAAGAAATGTCCTATCAAGTTAAACTTAAATAAGCAATGTAACAAATAAAAATATTTCAAATCACAGTGTTTAACATATAAGCACACACAGAGACTGCTGTGGTAGACAGTAGGGAAACATACAGTAATACACACTCATTACCCACACACACACATAATGTTCATGAGCTGATCTACTTCTCTCTACTTCTCTCTTTATTTGACTGTATTGCCACATCATTTCACCTGTATGAAATATGGAATGTACTTATACCAGCAAATTAATAAAATGTGTATTAAAAAGATGTAAATGAATGAAAAAGGGAACAAAACAAGACAATACTGTATCATAATCACAACTATAATCAGTGTACATTTATTTAAATAAGGATAATTAATTTAACGGATTAATAATTTCTTCTGGTGTGGATTGTGTATGCATATTTTGCAGCTACTTTAGCTTCCAAGCTATCCTCTCCATGTATATAGTGAAGTTTCTCTCTCTCTCACACATGCACACAGACAGTGCTCAGCATAATTAAGTACAGCCCATGTTGAAAATAAATATTGTCCTCCATTTTTCAGTCAATATAGGCGATGTATTTTGGTGCATTTAAACAAAACAGATTTAATAAACAGATATATATTAATTAGTCACCAGACATATTCAAAAATTATAAGATAATACAATTAAATTCAAGCTATATGTTCCAAAAATAAACTACAACCTGCAAAATTTCAAATAAATTGTAATTTTTTTTTGCTTCTCTTGATTTTTCCTCTTTGTTAAATCTGTATTTAATCATTTTCTCTAACATATAAATTAGGCTGTATTAGTTTTTAGAGCGAAGTAAGTTATTTTTGTTAGATTATTTCCTGAATTGGCTTCAGCGCTGACTAATCTAATGTATATGCACACAACTATATTTTGTAGACCTTCCTATTTAAAATGAATTTTAAAGAGAGATTCGAGAGAGGTGTACGCATATAAAGTTGAAGTCAGAATTATTCACCCCCCTGTTTCTAAACAGCTTAAAGTGACAGTTAATGGCTTAACTTGGTTAATTAGGGTAACTTGGCAGGTTAGGGTAATTAGGCAAGTTATTGTATAACGATGGTTTGTTCTGGAGACTATCGAAAATAAATATAGCTTAAAGGGGCGAATAATTTTGACCTTAAAATGGTGTTTAAAATATTAGAAACTGCTTTTATTCTAGCCGAAATAAAACAAATCAGACTTTCTCCAGAAGAACAAATATGATCAGACACACTGTGAAAATTTTCTGAATCTGTTCAACATCATTTGGGAAATATTTAAAGAAGAAAAAAAATCAAAGAGGGGCTAATAATTCTGACTTCAACTGTATATTTTTAGTACTTTACATGCACACTTTCTCTCTCTCACACACACACACACACACACACACGCACACACACTCTCCTGCTGTTTTAGTGAATGCCATATGCAGAAGGTGATCCTCACCTATCATAATTAATATTTCTTCTGCAGCATGTAATGTAGCTGCCAGTGTTGGCCTGGTGTGTTCAAAGCTAAGCAGCTCAGATCTGTCTCGTGTCTGATATTCATATTCTGATCATGTGTGAGTCTCTGACAGCGAGTGTGTACAGTGATGCAGATGACAGATACAGTTGTGGTCGGTCACTGGGAAGTTGATACCATCTCTGTTTACATGCAGATTAATGCTGCAGAGTTGACTGGTTTTAATGAAGAACTGTCAGATTCATTTGTAGAGCTCGCTTTTATGCAATCGTCACCTTTATTGCTTGCACTGAGGGCATGAATGACATAAATCCTTGCACTTGTACAGAAGAGCTGCAATTCTTTTCTTGCGTCTTTAAACAATAATTATGCTCAAATTAGAGCTGACATCTGCAATAATGATATTTCTATTAGCATGTATGATTATGCACAATAGCATGGTGTATTATAAAGGATGGCGTATACTCTGGGGTTATTAGATAAATTAGTATAGTAAAATTGTGGTTGAAGTATAGATATGGCATCCTGTGTATCTATACAGTATTGGCAATAAAAGTAATGTGAGACTGTGCTGTATTGATTTATAGTAGTCGTACAGTGCATATGATGCAAATTTCATTATCAGAACAGTGTGTGTATTCTGTATACACACCATTAACACACGTATTCAATGTTCATCTTAGTGCCACTTATCATACAAAATAGAAGCTTGCATTTACATAATTTGTGTGTGTTGTGTATATTTATTATGTATATAATAATACACACATCAATGTTAAATTATATACAGGTTTAGATTTAATTAAAACATAATGTGTGTGTGTGTATGTGTGTGTATATATATATATATATATATATATATATATATATATATATATATATATATATTAGTGATGAGAAAAAATTAAGTATGGTTGTGGAAAAAGTTTGTTTATGGTCAACGTCAGATTTATTGTCAATTCAACAACATGTACAGGACATAGAAAGAATCGAAATTGCGTTATTCTGAGACCCTATAGGAGCATATACATATAATATTAATACAAAAAGTAGAATTTAAAAAGAAATTACAATAGAATTACACGTATAATATTACTAGTAAAGGGCTAAGGGCGCATGGCAAAGAGTGCAAACCAGAGTTGTGCAGATGCAAAACGGTATATAGTGCAAAAAGCTTTTAAATATGATAAAGTGACAGTGTCTTAATAATATACAGAGGTAATATTCAAAATATATCATACAAATTACAGATATATTTAGATATCTGATACCAAAATATTTTGTATTTTGTTACTATATGTGTCGCATATACATATAAAAATAAATATATAAATATATACACACACACATACATACACACACAGTTGAAGTCAGAATTATTAGCCCCCCTTTGAATTTGTTTTCTTTTTAAAATATTTTTAATATTTTAAAGATGTTTACTACTAGAGCAAGGAAATTTTCACAGTATGTCTGATAATATTTTTTCTTCTGGAGAAAGTCTTATTTGTCTTATTTCAGCTAGAATAAAAGCAGTTATTAATATTTTAAACACCATTTTAAGGTAAAAATTATTAGCCCCTTTAAACTATTTTTTTTTCCACTTGACAGTTTTTTTTCCAAAGTCTGCAAACTTAATAAATTAATTAGCCTATAGGGAAGCCTTTAAATGTCACTTTAAGCTGTATAGAAGTGTCTTGAAGAATATCTAGTCTAATATTATTTACTGTCATCATGACAAAGAGAAAATAAATCAGTTATTAGAGATGAGTTATTAAAACTATTATAATTAGAAATGTGTTGGAGAAATCTGAAATAAAAGCTGAATATGATGAAAAAATAAACTGGGGACCAAATAATTATGACTTCAACTGTGTATATTTATATGTGTTTATGAATGAAGACTTCTGACGCAAAAATTCAGTTCAGAAGTGCCGTCTGAAATTTACATAGGAATTTACATTATTTTTAGTCTCCTTAGTTTACGGTATTTCACTTTGAAGACCATAAAAAACTTTTTTGCCATGGAAAAAGTCTTTGCCATGGAAGTGAAATTATTGAACCTACACAGGAGCCTAATAAAAAAGATAATTTTTTGAAGAATATTTGAGATGGCATGTAGGTTTTTGCATCTGAATTCTTCATAATACACACATACTTTGTCAAAACTAACGTCATCTTTGCACAGCACTAATTGTAAAGTATACATGCATATCTGTGCATTTAGACATTATAAATTTACACAACAGTTAAAATGTGTTTGTTTGTTGTGCAAATATATTTTGCAGATTTTTTTTGAACTAGTGTCATTTGTCAAGATGAAATAAAAGTTTCATTTATTAACATTTATTAACAGAGTTAAAACACTATAAAAAACTCCCTGTTTACTCTCCCTCAAGTGCTTCCAAACCTTTATAAGTATCATTCCTCTGTAAAACACACAAGATATTTTTTATAGAATGCTGTAAACCGGTAACCATTGACATCCATAGTAAGAATAACAAATACTGTGGAAGTCAATGGTTACAGGTTTTCAACATTCTTCAAAGTCTCTTCTTTTGGGTTTAACAGCAAAACAAAACTTAAACAGGTTACAATGATGACAGAACCTTCATGTTTGAGTGAACCGTCCCTTTAAATCATGCCATGAATGGAGTAGCAGAGTCCTGAACACAACCCACAACACATTAGCATCATGTTGGCCAGCTTTGTATCAGCACACTTTCTGTCTGAACATGGCATATTTATAGTTCACAAACTCTTTGACCTGAGTCATGAGGTCATGCTTTTGTGTTTCGATCACTTCAGACAACTTTGTAGTGCAGACGTGTTTAATAGTTCCTCCTAGGAAGTGCTCTGCTGGTAATTGTCTCCATTATTGGGTGCCTCCTGCGTTTCACAAAGCCCGTGATCGCAGACATGAAGCGTGTAATTATTGTGACACTTTAGCCTCATTTTCAGCTTCAGGGGCAGTTTTTCTGTCCTTTCAGATTCTTTTGCGCAGCTTTAATCCAAGGTTTTTGTAGTTTTTATTTCAGTATTGTTTTTTTGAACTTGCTGTAAAGTTTATTAATTGTTTTGTTTTTGTTTCGTGAACATTGCTGTTTATGTTTTATACAGTGTTCTGCATAAATGAGTTTATCGCCTTTTGAAAATGAATATTTTTAATTATTTCTTGCATAGCCACTCATTTTTCATGCACATAAAAATTGATAAAACTTTGTAATATGATAATTTTAATACAATATATTTTTTAAGAGAGCATTTTTATTCAGGTAATATTTTAAGGCAAATGTTTAAAATGGTATTTTCCCTGAAAAATGGTAGGTTCACTGAAAACTGAAGGTTCTGTCATCATTGTAACCTGTTTGAGTTTTGTTTTGCTGTTAAACACAAAAGAAGAGACTTTGAAGAATGTTGAAAACCTGTAACCATTGACTTCCTCAGTATTTGTTATGCTTACTATGGATGTCAATGGTTACCGGTTTACAACATTCTATAATATCTTGTGTGTTTTACAGAGGAATGACACTTATAAAGGTTTGGAAGCACTTGAGGGAGAGTAAACAGGGAGTTTTCTTTTGTATAATGGTAAAGATTTGTTGTTAATTAAACTAAAATAATGCATATGACTCTTTTCAGTGTTGTTATTGGTATGTTTTTTTGTTGAAGGAATATTCATTAAAAAAACTGATATGGCTGCATGTTATATATTGTATATTAAGTGTAGAATTTGCCATGAATATAGCCAATGCGGCTGATATGGCATTAAAACATTAATTAGTCGAGGCGGAGGAGAACCGCACCGTCCCATTATCTGTCTGTTGTCCAGGGATGTTGGTGTTAAAATAGCAGGAATGCCGAACATGTGGAATGCAGAGCTGCTGACCGCGGCTTGGGTTTCACTACAGCCTTTTATTTACAAAGCATTTCTGAAGCCTGTGTTGATTCAGAGTCTCGTTCCTCTCTCTGGGCTCCAACGCTTTGGTTTCTGCCATTGTAAGCTGGCACCTTTTATCAGTGAGGTAAAATAAAGTGTGCTTGACACTACGGCTGCACAAAATAAGGTTTCAGCATCGATGAAAATGTTCAAACTATTGCTTTTAATTATTTTCATCGTCCGTGCATGAAAAATGCAAATGCTTGGCATATATAATTAATTTAATTTACCACGCCTCTCAATGGGAAGGTTATTGCATATACTGTTGTTGAAGGTTATTTTTTTCACTGAACAAAGACTAAAACTATTGGTCAATAACCATTTTTGTTAGCTGAAATAAAATATTCATAACAAACTTAATTAAACTAATAGTCACTGAAAATAAAATAATAATTCACAATAATAAAATAATGACTGAAATAACATAATCTGCAAAAACATGAATCTTCATTCAGGATTAATAAACACTCCTGTGTTGTAAAATCTGACCTGTGGATGTTTACAGAAATGCCAGTATCGGAATGTGCGCATCTGCAATAGTCGCATCACAAAGATATGCAATGTCCAGTCTGAATTATTGCTGACCAGGAGTTACAGAATTGTATTTAATCACTTGAATTCATATGGAATTTATATGATTTATGCAAAAAAATCTTAATTAGAATTTTTGACTTGTTTTTAGCCCAAATATCTACATTTCAAAGCGAAAATAAGATTTCCTTAAAACAAACAAAAAAGCTCTTATTTTTCACTTATTCACTTTTACTCTTATTCAGGGTTTCTGCAGGGTCCTAAAATGTCTTAAATCTCAAAATCCAAATTTTAGGTCTTAAAAAGTCTTAAATTTACTGAAATATTGTGTTGTTAGTCCTAAATCTTTTTTTTTAATAGGTCTTAATTTTCCTTTGTTCATGTATTGCTACCAAATCTGGGCAAAACCCATACAATCATCAACAATTATCTCAATAAAACTTTATACTTTGTATTTTAAAAGGTCATTTTTACCTCTGTTTATCATAATGGTTTAATTATTTTCCTTACAGGAACATTTGTTTATTAGTTCTCCATGTATTTACTGCTGGACACTGACCTGGACAGATTGTTGTGTGTAGATTTAGTTTATTATAGTTTTTAAAACATTTGTTCATTTTTTCAAAATTATTTTTAAAAAAAATTTATGCTGGGAAAATGTGTATATGGATACAAGTAGAGCTTGCTTGTTTTTACACAATATTAAAAATATTTAGCTAAGAAATAATCGAAAATATTTATATTTTTTGTTATTATTGTATTATTAAACGTATATACAAAATTATATATATATATATATATATATATATATATATATATATATATATATATATATATATATATATATATATATATATATATATATATTTATTTATTTATTTATTTTTTATTTATAAAAATCTATAATAAAAATTCTGACTGCCAAATAAAAATATTTTTCATCTGGGCCATTTGAACAATTTCTTATCCTTTAGCCCTTTATGGGTCTAAAATTTCATTCATAATGGCATTAAAAATGTCTTAAAGTCTTAAATTTTACTCTGTGAAATCTGCACAGAAACCCTGTTATATTTCACGACGTTGCAACTAAGTAATATTGTTACTTTGTTTAAAAATATTTGGACTAGAAACAAGACAAAGTAAGAATTTGCGTTTTGATTATTCAATTTCTGTACCCGAATACTGTTAGACTCCTCAGAAAAAGAGTCAAGAGAGATATTCAAACCAGCTTCTGAAACTATTGCAGAAAAATAAAATATCACAATATCAGATCTTTCCAATATCATGTAGCCTGTAGATGCACTTTTGCAGAAAAAAACACAACAGTCAAGCGCAGGATTGTGTATAAAAACATCTTAAACATTCACTCATTCATTTTCCTTCAGCTTAGTCCCTTTATTCATCAGGTCACCACAGCAGAATGAACCACCAACTATTCCAGCATATGATTTACACAGCGGATGCCCTTTCAACTGCAACCCAGTACTGGGAAACACCCTTTCACACTTATTCACACACACACACTCGTACATTAAGGCCAGTTTAGTTTATTAATTCCCCTATAGTGCATGTGTTTGGACTGTGGGGGAAACCGGAGCACCCGGAGGAAACCCACGCCAACACAGGGAGAACAGGCAAACTCCACACAGAAACACCAACTGACTCAGTCGGAACTCAAACCAGCGACCTTCTTACTGTGAGGCCACAGTGCTAACCACTGAGCCACCGTGCCGCCCATCCTAAAACATCTTATAGTTTTGTCTCTATTGGAGTTTATTTACAGTAATGTTCTTTCTCTGTATAAACTACTACACATGTGAATTGTGCGTGTGTGTGTGTGTGTGTGTGTGTGTGTGTGTGTGTTAAATACTGTAATCTCTGACTGTTAAGTATTGTTCTGTTTGTTATTATGGGAAGTGTGTGTGTGTGTGTGTGTGTGTGTGTGTGTGTGTGTGTGTGTGTGTGTGTGTGGTGTTTGCTGTGGTTTACTGGTATCGTGAGAGAAGCTGTCATGGTAATATCTGTTCAGCAGCACAGATGCATCATGGGACACCATAAACACCTCGTCTGCTTATTAAATATCTGCTGCTGCTGGTGATAGCGGATAGGTCCAATATGTTGTTTGTAAATGTGTGTGACGTCAGTTTTGAGCTGCTTTATGCATTTTTTTAATGCAATAATACAAAATACACATTAAAATAGGTGAGTGGAAGCATGGCTGTTTTTTTTTTTGTTGCTTTGTGATCAATAAGAGAAAGAAACCCAAACAGGGTTGGAACAAGTGCAGGATGAGGAAATCTTAGGGTGAACTGTGCCTTTAATACAGATGTGAACGGTTTGAGCTGCTCCACCTTCAGTGCTGAAACACATTAGATTGTTTTCACTCGTGTGGTCGAAAGAGCAGCTGCTCTCCAATACTGACCAAACATGTGATCTGTGTTGTGAGAAGAACAATCCGGAGGAGATACTCCGACTGCTCTGTGCTCCAGCAAAACACACTGATATGATGGGAGTCATTGCTGCCTTCAACATTCCTCTCCTTGTGCTTTAACTAGCATTGAATGCTGACGTAACGACGTTAATCCAACTGTGTGCTCCAATATGTACAACAGGAACGTTCATAAGCAGCTCATGTGAACACCTTCATCATGTTATTGTCTTATTGAGATGAAGGTAAATCGTTAGATTGCTTAACGTAGTCAGTGTTGTGTGTGTGTGTGTGTGTTGTGTGTTTCAGAGTCTGTGTATGACCTGCTGCCTGCAGAGCTGCAGCTGCCGTCGCTCGTCCAGCAGGAAAACTCCAGCATGAGCCAGAAGAGCGGTGGAGAAGCCGGACCTCCTCCTGCTGCTGCTGCTGCTGCTGCACTGCCCACAGGTACAGTGGTGTGTGTGTGTGTGTGTGTGTGAGTTTGTGTGAGTGTGTGTCTGTGTCCGCGTCTGCTGCTGAACTGGCCACAGGTACCAGCTTTACTGTGTGTGTCAGCATCTGCTTTTGCACACGTGGGTACATCTGTGTCTGCGCGTTTGTGCGCGCGCGCGCGCGCGTGTGTGTGTGTGTGTGTGTGTGTGTGTGTGTGTGTGTGTGTGTGTATGTCTTTCTTTTTGGGGGTCTATATTTGTGTGTGTGTATATGCATCTGTCTGAGTGTGTGTGTGTGTGTGTGTGTGTGTGTGTGTGTGTGTGTGTGTGTGTGTGTGTATATATATGTCTTTTTGTTTGGGGGGGTCTATATTTGTGTGTGTGTGTGTGTGTGTGTGTGTGTGTGTGTGTGTGTGTGTGTGTGTGTGTGTGTGTGTGTGTGTGTGTATGTATATGCATCTGTCTGAGTGTGTATATTTGTTTGTCTGTTTGTGTGTGTGTGTGTGTGTGTGTGTGTGTGTGATGTAACTTCCTGTGAAGCTCATTCATGTCTTTTATTGCTCTTTTCTTTTTGTCGCTCTGCTCTTTTCCTTTTATCTTTACAGTTGAAGGCAGAACGATTCGCCCTCCTGCCAAATTAACCAATAATATATTAATAATTAATATATATTAATATTTCCCTAATGAGGTTTAACAGAGCAGTGATATTTTTCTCAGTACTGTCTAATGATGTTTTCTTCTGAAGAAAGTCTGATTTTTTTTTTTTAGTTTGGCTGGAATTAATGGAGTTTAATAAATGTTAAATATATTTTAAGCTCGATATCATTACCAGCCATAAGAAATTATTATTCTTTCAATTGTTTGCAGAACAAAAACACTTCAACTTCATGTTGTTCAATAACCTGCCTATTTAGCATAACTTGCCTGGTTATTTAATTTACCTAGTTAAGCTTTAAAATGTCACTTCAATCTAAATACTAACGTCTCGTATAAAAACCTTGTAAAATAAACTACCTGAGGAAAGTCTTGTGGTGGATCTCAGTTATAAGAGCAGCAGATAATATCTTGACTTCCAGTTGATCATGTATAAAAGTGTCAGAAGGTGGATTTTTCCCATTAATCATCTGCTGATCTGCATCCCAATCATCACCAATACTGCAGAAGACCTACTGGAACCAGCATGGACCAATATTCACACAGAAATCAGTCAAGTTTGGTGAAGGAGAAATCATAGTTTAGGGTGACTTTTAGTATGGGGGTGTGCGAGAGATCTGCAGAGTGGATGATCAACATCAACAGTCTGAGGTATCAAGACATCTGTGCTGCCCATTACATTACAAACCACAGGAGAGGGACAATTCTCCAGCAGGACAGCGCTCCTGCTCATACTTCAGCCTCCACATCAAGGCTCCTGAAAGCAAAGAAGGTGCTCCAGGATTGGCCAGCCCAGTCACCAGACATGAACATTATTGAGCCATGATCATATTTTATTGTACTCAAATAAGTATCATCTTTGCCTTTCATAGAAGACACTTCTGACCCCAAATGAGCAACTAGAAGTCCAAATATTATTTGCTGTTTCTAAAACTTGGATAGCTAACAAGACTTCTGTCAGGATGTGTATTATGTGCTGTCATCATGACAAAGATTAAATAAAAATGAATTTTAAAATTTAAATATTTTTAAAAGAATTAAAATTTCACAGGAGGGCGAATCATTTTCCCTTCAGCTCGTTCGTTCATATTTTCCCTCTATGTTTATGGTTTGTTTTGAGCGCTGTGCTTTCTAGTGCTGCTGATTGTGCTTCCTGTTTCACATTGTCCCGCTTTATTCGCTGTTGAAGACCATCTACATGCTCTGACCTTTCTATTTTGACATTTATTAATCTTCGGCTGTTTACGTCATCATGGTCAGCTCAACCAGAGATCCTCAGCTCAAATGTAGCACTTTGATCATATTTTTGTCTGACAAACGTACAGAAATGTTTAAATATTTGTACAGAATGGATGTATAATGTTTATGAATGGATCACTGAGTCACTGGCTAAGTGATTTGTTTAAAGACGGATTCATTTAGGAAGTAAGCAGCATCATTGATAGTAAGATCATACTGCATAATACATGGCAAATTTGTAACTATATCAAAATTGGTTGATTTCTGTAGATTGGTTGATGCATCAGTGTGTAAATAATTCAGTTAAATATCAACCAATGAATCAATTCCTGTCTTATGTTTATTAAATATTTTGTTATTATAAAATGCATCACAACAAAGCCGCAAAAATAGTTCATAATGCCATTTTTTTTACATCAGGAAATATTCATTCATTCATTCAGTCATTTTCTTTTCAGCTTAGACCCTTTATTAATCAGGGTACATCACAGCGGAACGAACCGCCAACTATTTCAGCATATGATGTACTCTTTCAACTGCAACCTATCACTAGGCAACGCTCTCATTCACACACATACACTACAGACAACTTAGCTTACCTAATAGCTCATGTCTTTGGACTGGATGCACCCAGAGGAAACCCATGCGAACACGGGGAGAACATGCAAACTCCACACAGAAATGCCAACTGACCCAGCTGAGGCTCAAACCAGTGTCCGTCTTGCTGTGAGGCGACAGCACTACCCACTGCGCCACCGTGCCACCCACATCAGAAATATATATAGTAATAAAATATTCCACATAAACAACATCCCATTAACTACTTAATTAATTTAAGCATGTTTAAAATATATTGCTTAATTTTTAAATAACTTTAATTTGAACAATTTTGCTTTAATCGTAGTAAAGTTGTTTTAAATATATTGCTTAGGCCTAATTAGGCTGTAGCCAGGATAAAACTACACAACGTCCTGTTTAAACAGGAAGTTGAGGGATCATTTAAGTCAGGGTTGTCCGAAGTCGGTCCTGGAGGGCCGGTGTCCTGCTGACTTTAGCTCCAACTTGCTTCAACACACCTGCCTGGAAGTTTCTAGTATTCCTAGCTAGATTACCTTGTTCAGGTGTGTTTGATTAGGGTTGGAGCTAAACTCTCCTGGACACCGGCTCTCCAGGACCGAGTGTGGACATGTCTGATTTAAGCGAAGCAGCACAGAAAAATATCAATGTTTTTGCAGCAGTAAATCAAGCACCAAACTAGGAAAACATAACTAAATAAATAAATAAAACAGTAATTAATTAAAAAAAACGCTCTCTTTATGGATATGGTGATGTTTGCTCAAATTATTCTGACCGGTTATTATTCTTTTTTTGCTGATGTCTACATGGGATGACCAGCGCTTCTTGTTTATTGGCTGTCATTTGTGGTTTTTATTTCAGGGAGTTCCCTCTGAATCAGGGAGCGTCTGCATATAAAATGGTCTGCAGTTCTCTGCTTCGTAGGTCAGAAGCTTGTTTATTCTGTCTCCATGGCTACGCTCAGTCCCAACCAGATCCTCTGATTGGCATGCATTAGTCCAAACCTGTGTTTATTGTGTCTATGAGAGGCTGATTGAATTGGCTGACCAATCAGATTGCTCGATTGGCATGCATTAAATTGACCAATAGAGTTAAAGCGATCAGCACTGGGCTACGCAGGAGTCATAGCTGATGTTCTGTGTAGCCCTAACGCATGCACTGCATTTTATGATCGCTTTTGGGCCATTGTTGAGATTATTTATTAGATTTAATCTGTATATAGTTATTCGCCCTCCTGTGAAATCTTTTAAAGTGATGTTTAATAGTGCAATGAAATTAAAAGTCTTATTTGTTTTTGGCTGGCTGGAATAGAGACAGTTTTTAATTGTTTAAAAACAATTGTAATGTTAATATTACCAGCCTTCTTAATCACTGCTGTCCTGTAACTTGCCCAATTAACTTCGTTACCTTGTTGAGCCTTTAAATTACACTTTAAGCTGAATACTTGTGTAATGAAGGCCAGTTAGCGAAGTGCTGTGCAGGTAAACCTCACTCCTCTGGCCACTAAAGATGCTCTAGCAACAGACGCTATGAGACGCATGGTCTCTGGGCTCCTTGTTAGAGCAACCAACTCCCATACAAAGAATGGCCGGTTCAATCAAAGTGACCGGGTTGGGTGCAGTAGGAACAGTGGGTTACACGTGGGGGCTCGTCCGGGATGGGAGTGAGGCTTAGGGAGGGTGAATGTAACGAAGGCCACCTAGCGAAGTGCTGTGCAGGTAAACCTCATTCCTCTGACCTCAAAAGGGTGCACTAGTGACAGACTCTAGAGGCCATGATTTTCAGCCGTCTTGTTATAGCAACCGACTCCCATACCAAGAATTGCCGGTGTGGGGCTTGTCTGGGATAAGCGTGAGGTTTAGGGGGCGAGTATAACGGAGGCTACCTAGCGAAGTGCAATGCAGGTAAACTTCACTTCTCTAATCACTAAAGGTGCTCTAGCGACAGACACTAGAGGCCATGGTTTTTAGCTTTCTTGTTAGAGCAACTGACTCCAATACAAAGAATTGCAGGTGTGGGGGTTCCTCCAGGATGGGAGTGACCTCACTCCTCTGACCACTAAAGATGCTCTAGCGACAAACGCTAGAAACCATGGTCTTTAGTCTCCTTGTTAGAGCAACTGACTCTCATACTAAGAATCTCTAGTTCAATCCCAGCTCAGACCGGGTTGGGTGCAGTAGGACAGGTGGGTTACACATGGGGGCTCGTCCGGGATGGGAGTAAGGTTTAGGGGGGTAAATGTAACGAAGGCCACCTAGCAAAGTGCAATGCAGGTAAACTTCACTTCTCTAATTACTAAAGGCTCTCTAGTGACAGACGCTAGGGGCCATGGTTTTTAGCTTTCTTGTTAGAGCAACTGACTCCAATACAAAGAATCACAGGTGTGGGGGCTCTTCCGAGATGGGAGTGAGGTTTAGGCGGGTGAATGTAATGAAGGCCAGCTAGTGAAGTGCTGTGCAGGTAAACCTCACTCCTCTGGCCATTAAAGATGCTCTTGCGACAGACACTAGAGGCCATGGTCTTTAGCTTCCTTGTTAGAGCAACCGACTCCTATACTAAGAATCTCTAGTTCAATCCCAGCTGAGACCGGGTTGGCTGCAGTAGGACAGGTGGGTTACATGTGGGGGCTCGTCCGGGATTGGAGTAAGGTTTCAGGGGGTAAATGTAACGAAGGCCACCTAGCAAAGTGCAATGCAGGTAAACTTCACTTCTCTGAATGCTAAAGGCACTCTAGTGACAGACGCTAGGGGCCATGGTTTTTAGCTTCTTTGTTAGAGCAACCGACCTCCCATATAAAGAATCGCCCATTCAATCCAAGCTGAGACTGGGTTGGGTGCAGTAAGACAGGTGGGTTACACATAGTGGGTTGTCCGAGATGGGAGTGAGGCTTAGGGGGGGTGAATGTAACGAAGGCCAGCTAGCGAAGTGCTGTGCAGGTAAACCTCACTACTCTGACCTCAATAGGGTGCTCTAGCTACAGACACTAGAGGCCATGGTCTTTAGTCTCCTTGGTATAGCAACTTACTCCCATATAAAGAATTGCCGGTTCAATCCCAGCCCAGACCGGGTTGGGTGCAGTAGGACCAGTGGGTTAATTTCCTTTATTTATCCAGGAGATCACATTGAGACCGTACTGTCTCTTCTTCCAGTGAGACCTGGTCTCACACGTGGGGGCTCGTCCGGGAATGGAGTGAGGTTTAGGAGGGTGAGTGTAACAGAAGCCAGCTAGCGAAGTGCTATGCAGGTAAACCTCAGGTCAGTTTCGAAGAGTTAGAGAACATTATTTTTGTGCTATTTTGAAACTTAGGGACAGCAGATACTTATTTTACATCTTGCAAAAAGGGGCAGAATAGACCACTTTTAAATAAAGTGTGTTTTAAATTGTTTAGATTTCACATTAGGGCGAATATTGATGGACTTAATAATATGGGACTGAATATTCACCAGGGCTCTGCTGTGATTTTCACTTTAGCCAGATAATAAAAGCCAATGAGCAGATATGATGTGGAGATTGCAGGACTGCGAGCCAAACGTTGATTTATTATATTTTTTAACCTCCTATATTGTGCACACTACAGATGCTGCTGCCCCGTGCGCCGCTGCCTCCTCCCCAGGGGCCCTCAGCAGTACGCTTCCCTCCTGTCCCAGCATGCTCTCTGCTACCTCAGCCCCGGAGCAGACGCCGGAGCCACAGCCGGAGCGTATGGAACCTGCATCAGATGCTGCACAGAGCCAGGCCACCCCCTCCAAACGCCGCACCGTCCTGAGCATCTCGCCGCCGCCGGAGGACCTGCTGGACGACAGCCGGATGTCCTGCCAGGATGACACGCTCCCGAATCTGGACTCGGAGCAGAGCAGCACCATCTGGCTGGAGGATTCAGTGTCCAACTTCAGCATGGGCAGTAGCAGCTCCTACAACGACAACACGGAGGTGCCCAGAAAGTCCCGCAAGAGGACGCCCCGCCAGCGACCCGGCTCCAAACCCGCGGCCCGAGAGGAGGCTGGCATGGATGTGTTTGACGCCGACAGCGCTAAAGCTCCACACTTTGTACTCTCACAGCTGGGTTCAGACGCCAAAGTCACACCTAAAGCCAGGTGGGTTTTTTATGTTTGACCTCATAAAAGGTTTTTAATATGGATCACCGCCCCGATAGCGGGATGCTTTAGTTTACTTTATCTAATTTGCTAATTCCTAATATAGTAAAGACAAAAAAAAAAAAAAAATATATATATATATATATATATATATATATATTTATATATATACACATATATATATATATATATATATATATATATATATATATATAATAAATTTATTGACCTTTTGGAGCTTTTTTGACAGTGTGTTCTTTAAAATGAGACCAAGCTTAAATCTATGCACCAAAACATTAAAGACTGGCAACTATTTCATGTCTGTGTTCAAAAATGGGACTGATTATTAAGTAGGAAAATAATTTATTTTTACAATTTTACCTGTAGCTCCCTGGAAGTGTCAAATAACCAGAAAGGAGGAGTTTTGTCCATTCAGTACCCTCCGAAGAGCGAAGGGAAGGAGCTGAAGATTCTGGTCCAGCCGGAGACGCAGCACAGAGCGCGATACCTCACAGAGGGAAGCAGAGGATCCGTCAAAGACCGCACGCAACAGGGATTCCCTACAATCAAAGTAAGACTCAGAAATGTTCTATTAAATATACGAAATGTTGGATTGGCGATGCACCAAAACCAACAATTCTTTATTAATTCTTTATTTCACTTAATAATCTACTGTAGTTCTGCAATTGTATTATTTATTAAGTGTGCAAAACATACAGCATGCTTTCCCAGTGTTGGGTTACAGCTAGAAGGGCATCTGCTGCGTAAAACATATGCTGGAATAGTTGACGATTCATTCCGCTGGGGTGACCCCTGATTAATAAATGGACTAAGCTGAAAAGAAAATGAATGAATGAACATACAACATACTGTAAACACAGAACACACAAACAGAGTAGAACTGAAATTAAAATAACATGTATGTGGATAAACGGCAATGACAATCAGAAGATTATTGGTAATGCTCAATATTTATAGACAATTATAAGATCAATAATATTACTAAAGATGTTGATGATGAAAGTAATATTCTGTGATGACGGCAACAGTGAAATTATTATTAATCATAATATTAATAAAGTTAATAAAAGTAATAATGATGTCATAACAAAAATATTACTGATTAAAGACTTTTTAAATTGAATTCAACTTAAAATTATACCGATTTATTAAAAAAAGACACACATATATATATGTATTTGTATGTATGTATATGTATGTATGTATATATGTATATATATACATGTGTGTATGTGTATATATATATATATATATATATATATATATATATATACACATACACACATGTGTATGTATGATGTGTGTATGATTTGGACTTAGCTGCTTTATTTAAAGCTGATTTTTAATTTGTTCATTATATGGTATATTCAAAATTGTATCTTATGTAATGTGTTCCGACGAGCTAATTTCCCTCTGGGATTAGTACAGTGAAATCAATCTATCACATTAATATAATTAAAGAGTTGAGAGGCGTTAATTTGCCACTTCTGTTCTGTTCCTGGCCCTGTCCTTATGCACTCAAATAAAATTAGACAGAAACAGTGTTGTGTAAGTATTATATAATACATTTTATTTTGTATTATAAACTGCTAATCTTCTTATTTATGATGTATACATAGACATTCCATAAAACATTAGCTTATGAATAATTATCCCAAAGCCATGGCATTTTATTAGGAAAACTGTGTACAAACCCTGCATTCAAATGAATGCATTTCATAGCGCAGTGCTTTCTGCATCCAGTGAGAAAGCCGATTCAGACCGCACAGATACACAAACCAGGATTATATTTATAGGATTACATTTAGCCATTTTTCTCTTTCGTTCAAAAAACTGAAAGGCCCAATATTCAGTGCATTTCCAATACCTGTTTATTGAAGTGATGCAGGTCATTTGGTAATGTGTGTAAATATGTAACCGCAGCTAGATGGCGTCAGTGACCCAGTGGTGCTCCAAGTGTTTGTGGCCAATGACGCTGGACGTGTGAAGCCGCATGGGTTTTACCAAGCCTGCAGAGTGACCGGACGCAACACCACGGCCTGTAAGGAGGTGGACATCGAGGGGACCACAGTAATTGAAGTAAACCTCGAGCCAACCAACTCTATGACCCTACCGTAAGCTTCTATTATCAAATCATTTCTGACAGAATGTAGTTATTAGGGCTGCAGAATATTTCTGACAATTATCGCAGTATTAGTACATCCAATATCCATATCGCAGAGTAGTGCAGTCAATTAAATTAATGTTATGTGCCATGCATTTGTGTGCTGAGTCACGGACAGTGTAATGTGCCATGTGTGTGCAGCGTGGACTGTGTTGGCATCTTGAAGCTGAGGAATGCAGATGTTGAAGCTCGTATTGGAGTTGCAGGATCCAAAAAGAAGAGCACTCGCGCACGTCTGGCCTTCAGAGTCAACATCCCAAGACCTGATGGATCTGTCCTGACCCTCCAGACTCTCTCCTCTCCGATATTATGTAGTAAGTGTGACGTTTTCATCTACTCTGGGCTGATTTTGAGGCTTAATTTGGCCACAGCTTTTTCTGTTTCAGCAAATGGGATGATTTTTGGTGACTACTCTTGTTTTAAAGCGTATTTTGGGAAAAACCTTTCAATATAAAAAACTCAGCAATACACACCCTGGGCAAATTGACTACCCTTTCATTGTGTTGAGGGCTGTTTTTGCCCCATTGACTTTCATTATAATCACATTTTTTATTTGCAAAGCCATGACCGTATTTAATCATGCATTCTTAATCGTTGCTGTTTTTCCCTGTTGGGAAGAGGTAGAGTTTGTCATTTGTACTGTTGAACATCAGTTGCAGTTCAAGAAAGGCTTAGTTTCTGGCTTTTATATGGAGCATATTATTGTATTTTTGTCTCGTGTTTACAGCTCAACCAGCTGGAGTGCCTGAAATCCTTAAGAAGAGTCTTCACAGTGGTTCTGTAGCAGGAGGAGAGGAGGTCTTCATAATTGGCAAGAACTTTCTCAAAGGAACCAAAGTTCTTTTTCAGGAAAATTCATCAGGTACTGCATTTATAGGTCACATATTTCAAAAACGTAATGCAAACACCATGTCTTAATGACAAGATTCCAGCAACAAGAGATTTATGTATCCGAAGCAGACACAACACGACAGAAACATTCAAATATTGATTAAGAAGCACAGAATAATGCAATGCAATTCCAAACAGACAGGTTAATAATCTAATAAATGCATATTAAACCACTTTACATTATACACTCACAGTTCTAATGTTCATTCACACACTCTTATCTTTGCTGTTTTGTTTTCAAGATCTGAGGTGAGCTATCTGCTGCCGCTTTCAGGCAGTAAATATCATGTTAAAGGGTGTTCAAACTCGCATTTAACACTGAATAAAGCTCATAATTAGCAGCTGAAGTGATCATATTCATAGTAGTTTATGCTGTTGTTTTGCTGCCATGTTGCAGAATCAGTAGAAATCGTTTCCAAATTGAAATTTTAAGTGTCGTCGTAGTGGACAGTTTGGACAAAGACTACCTTTAACATGGAAATGATAGCTTTTGTTGAATGTTGTTATGTGTAGTTACAACATTATATCATTATTATAATACATTATTATGACATAATACCCACTTTAAAACAAAATATGTGATTACATTTGCATGTTCTTTTCAGATGAGAGTGGCTGGCAGGCTGAAGCAGAAATCGACATGGAACTTTTTCATCAGGCAAGTGCAGGGCATGCAGTTTTTTCTTCTACTAGTGCACTTTTATCGTTCATAAGTATCTCACCATAATCATCATCTCAACATTTTTCAATACAGAATCATCTAGTGGTGAAGGTTCCCCCATATCATGACCAGACTGTGGCCAACCCGGTGTCTGTAGGGATCGCTGTTGTGACAAACGCAGGAAGAACGCATGATTTACAGACTTTTACTTACACTCCTCTAACAGGTGTGTACAAAAATATGAAATATTTGTTAATTATTGGTTAATTCTTCATTGTAAGATCCTGGATGTGCATTTGGGACTTTTACATTAGGGTTGCGGAAAGGGTACCTAAAGGAACACTCCACTTTTTTGTTGGGAAAAGGCTTAATTTACAGAGTCAAACAGTTGAGGTTTACTGTTTTAAAACATTCAGCCGATTGTTTACCTTAGCTTAGCATAGGTTATTGAGTTGGATTAGACCAGGGGTGATCAACCCTGCTCCTGGAGATCTACTGTCCTGAAGATTTCAGTTGCCACCCATATCAAACACACCTGCCTGTAATTATCCAGAGCTGTTCCGGTCCTGATTTCATGGTTCAGGTGTGTTTGATCAGGGTTGGAGCTGAACTCAGCATGAAGGTAGATCTCCAAGAGCAGGGTTGGTCACCCCTGGATTAGGCCATTCGCATTTACAGAATAGTCAAGCTTTAAATAGGAAAATTTGTGAAACTTTTTTTTTTCTTCATTTTGAGCAAGATGCTAACTTTTTAATCCAATTTAATGGCCTATGCTAAGCTAAAAGTGCTCTGCCAAATGTGAAGATCGGCTGAATGGATTCGTAAATGTTAGATCTCGACTCTAAGGGAATTGTAAAATAAGCAAACAAGTGGAGTGTTTCTATAAAGAGACAATTACAATGGCCTACTTTTCAATGCCACTGGGCCTTTATGCCAATCCTGTGGTTCTTGGACGGGAATATTTTACATGACCAAGAAAGGATGAAGAGCCTAACTTTGGTAGATCAGGTGTACTTGGGTGCATTAATTTAAGGTGGTTTTGGTAAATCAGGAATTGTAAAATTGTGTCTGAATTCTATGGGCGCACCTTTGGATAAAGGTAGTTAATATTTTTGGTTTGGTTACACCCCTTGATTGGACAGAGTTTAATGCACTTCTGCAGCAACATATGATAGCGTCATTCAATATTTAAACTCTTTCCATACAGAGAAAGTTGAAATACCGGTGAAGTCAGAACTGCCCGCCACAGTCAAGGCTTGTACCTTTGAAGAGCAGATCAAAGGTGTGGCACTATTAATGTTTCATGTTTTACTGCTGAGCATTACATTTAAGACCATTTCATTGTTAATTGTTTTCAAGTTTAAGTTTCATGACTTTGTTTACAGCGATGCAAACTGAAACCAGCTGTCTAAATAATGTTATAATGTTACCGATGGTCAAGCGCGAAGAGCCTATGGAAGTCTCCTGCAATGCTACTCCTTCTGACATTTTTAAGGTAATATCATTTTTAATTCACTTATTGTAGATCAGGGGTAGGCAAGAAGGTCCTGCGGAAATTTGCTATCAAGACTTGCTATTTGGTAGGCAAGAAAGTCCCTAATCAAACTAACTTGGGACAAGGTAATTAAGGTCTGAGGCTCTATCCAAAATGCCCCCTATAGGATTGAATAGTAGCCTGAAACCATAGTGGACGTTTTGAACTGCACCTAATCTATCCCAAAATGCACCTTATAATGAGTGTCCAAATAATGAACATGCATCGGCTAGAGAATATCCATGATGCACCGTGAGTTTGTGTGCAAAATGAATATCCACATCTGACCACAAGATGGCGTTGATAGCGGAATTCTATCTGCATTGCTAAAACTTTGTAAGATTGCAGCTCTCCCAGGCCAAATTTGCCTATCCTTTGGTTTAGAAGGTAAACTTAAGCAAATTTTTATAAACGGCGTATTAATTGTAACAATTATTTCCTATTTTTGCAATTCAGCCTGTAGAGACTCTTAGTTCAACCCAGCAGATATTGGAGATCAGTACTGTCCTTCCGTCTGCCACCAAATCTTTTCCAAGCCCAGTGGCTCTCCAACCCGTCGACTCCCAGCAAGCTCCGGCTCAAATCTTCACAACTCAAGAAACATTGGCCACCATTCAGAAGCAGGACATTCCTTCACCTGCCTCCTTTCAAGTGTCCTTGTCAGAGGACACAACCGTTCTCCAGCCGGTTCCCCCTCAGGTCCCGCAGCAGTTCTTGCGGGAAACCCCAGAAACACTGTCTCCAGAAGACAGCAGTGCAGATGGTGCTGGAATGGTACTGGTGGGCATAGACAGGAATCCGCCATCCCAGCGCCAACAGGTCCAGGCTCTTCTACCTCAGGATGGGGTTGCACAGCTGGAGCTGGCAGTGAGAGAGCTGCAGGCACAACAGCAGCTCAATTCTGTACTTTACAGCCCGACTCCGTCTGCAGAAAGCCTTCAGCAGCATGTGCAGGAAAACATGAACAGCCTACGGTTAGGTGGAAATGAGACGACTCTAACCAACCAGCAACAGCAGCAGCAAGAGCAGAATATACTGGAGAATCTGCAACAGCAGCAGCAGAAGGCTCTCGTGGATCTACAGCATCAACAAACTGTCCTGGAAAATCTTCAGCAACATCAGAAAGTCTTGGAGAACCTCCAGCAACATGCTATGGGCAACATCCAGCAGCAACAAACACACAAAGTCCTGGAGAATCTGCAGCATCAGCAACAGCACCAGAAAGTTCTGGAGAACATTCAGCAGCAAAGTTCAATCGTGACTCTGCAGCATCAGAAGGTTCTGGACAATCTCCAGCAGCAGCAACAGCATCAGATTAATCTAGAAACTCTTCAGCATCAGGAGGTGTTGGAGAGCCTGAAGCAGCAGCTGCAATCAGAGCTCATGCAGACGCAGATACCAATGCAGTGCACGCCTAGCTTCACTAACGATCAGCAAAGCTCCACACAGGCTAGCACTCTCCCGCAGTCCTCTGACGGATTTCTCCAGAACCCCCCGCAGCAGCAGGCCGCACTTTTCCAGCAGACCGGTGGGATCATGACCATACAGACCTCTGGCTTTCTGCAGCAGCCGTCTGCTCAGCCATCGCCTCCTCAGCCGCTTTTCCAGAGCCACAACCCCTTGACGGAAACTCAAGACACTCAGGCTGTACTCTTCGGAGCCACAAAGCCGCCACAGGTCCAAGCAGCCTTATTTCCCAGTACCATGACAATGCTAGCAAGCAGCAATCTCCCCACAGAGCAGCAACCTCCTTCAGCTAGTCTGTTTATCGCGCAGAGTGTGTTACCAGCATCAGATAACACCCAGAACCAGCCGCCGCAGCAGATCACCTTCCTCACGCCCATGCAGACCTCAGGAGCCGAACCCCAGACAGTCTCACTTTTTCAAGGACAGACGCAGTTGTCCACCCCAATGGAGCAACAGCAGTCTCCTCAACAGCAGCAGATGCCAACCTCTCAACAAGCCCCTCTATTCTCGAATATCACCACAATATCCCCAAATCAAGCACAGCAACCAACTCAGACGGGAATACTGTTCTGTACAACAACAATCAATCCTCACGATCTCCCCCAGGCTCTGCTGTTCAGTGGCCAGAATCAGGCTTCGCTAGGAACCGATCGGCTCCCAGAGAATATCTTTCAGGAGCAGCAGCCCATGCAAGTGGTTCCCAGCTCTGAAAATGTTTCTTCCAACAATCCTTCGAACCAGCCCGCAGTCCCAGCAGCGCAGGCCGCTCAGAACCCATCAATTATTTTCACACAAACCGGTGTGGTGAATGTTGCTCAGCAAGACTCTGCAGAACCCATGTCTTTTCAGGACCAGAGCACCGGTGTCAATGAATCTTCTGCCAGTTTGCCTTCAACACGGACAGAACTGTTTCAGGACCAGCAGCCCATGCAGGTTGTGCCCAGTGCCGCAAGCGTAACCCCCGTCTCTCCTTCGGACCAACCTTCTGTCAACATTTACTTGCCTCCGTCAGCAATTTCAGCCTTGCAGGGTGGTGTAAGTGCTCAGGATTTACCTCCAGCTGCCGCAGCCGCCACCATGTTTAGTGGGCAGACTGGTGTGTCAGGACTGCAGAACTCCGCCCCGACTGCCCCTCCACAGCCACCCAGCCAACTCTTCCAGACTGCTATTGGGGGAACCCTGAGCCAGCCGGGACCGCCAGGACCAGCTGGCCTGTTTCTCTTTGAGATTCCCAGTGGTAAGAACAGTCATTTAAAAGGTCTCAGGAAATGTTAGTATCAATATGTTCGATTTTAAGGATATCGGTTAGCTAGTGTGCTCCAAAACAGTGACAAAATTCGAGTTTAGAAGATATAAACCTGATAGAACTTCCAAAGCTCGCAGTTTGTCACTCTCACCAAAATCAGGGGTGACCAACCCTGTTCCTGGGATCTACCTTCCTGCAGACTTCAGTTGCAACTCATATCAAGCACACCTGCCTGTGATTATCAAGTGCTGTACAGGTCCAAATAATTGGTTCAAGTTTGTTTGATCAGGGATGAAGCTGAACTCCACAGGAGGGTAGATCTCCAGGAACAGGGTTGAGCACCCCTGGCCTAAATGAATCAACTGTTTTTTTTTTCACATCACCACATGCAATCAAATATTGTCCCATCAAATGCTCTCTAATGTCTGACATGACCCCCCCCCCCCTTCAAGGTGCTTTTTAAAATTGCTTTTCATTTGATGTGAACACTCTTACTGGCAGAGCTAGCTTTTAAAAGGGGAGTGGCTACTTTATGCCCCGCCCTCTTCATGTTTTAGTTGAGATTAAGTCAAACATCGAATAAAAAAAAAATGCACGTTTTAAAGCAGTTCTCATTACACATTAGCTTTGGGACAACTTGTTTGGGTTTTCACACTCTGCTTAACCCCTGGGTTATCATCAATCTGAACATCGCTTTTAACTAAATTTTAACTATTAAACCTATAATTATGTACGTTTATTTTTTATAAGCTATAATCATTTTGTGTCAAACTCGATTCCTCCACACCTCTGCACAGTTTTGTTCTAACCTTAATTAAACCTAATCCAAGTAATCAAGGTGTTCGGCATTGGGATGTGCCCACCATAATAAGGGCTGTTTTTATTGTTGTGAGGGTTGCATGGGGGGGCGACGACACCTGTAATGAAAAGGAAAGGAAATCCTGCCATCTTTATATTTATTTAAAAGTGTTTTCATGCCTTAATAAAACGAAAGCACAACACAGACTCTCATTTAAGAGCAAGGGGCGGCCGCTGGTGGTTCGGCGATATAGCTTGCGTATAGGGAGGATCGGCTCTTTAATGTTAATTGCCACCCATCAGAGAAAGTCTGAAAATATGGGAGAAATACGGGAAAATACCATTATGGGGTGATAGCGGGATAGAACTATAAAATACAGGAGAATCTCGGGAAAAACGAGAGGGTTGACTGGTATGAGCTAAACTGTGCAGAGTTGTGGCCCTCCAGGAATTGAGTTTGAGACCATTGGTCCACATCAGGGGTGTCCAAACTTAGTCTTGGAGGACTAGTGTCCCGCTGAGTTTAGCTCCAACTTGCTTCAACACACCTGCCAGGAAGTTTCTAGTATATCTAGTAAGAGCTTGATTGGTCTAGGTGAGTTGGAGTGAATCTCTCCAGGACACCAGCCCTCCAGGACTAAGTTTGGACACTGCTGGTCTAAATCTTTGACAGATCACTCTAATAAAATGAACTGAAACACTTTATCCTACAATAACAATGCTACTTCATTACAGTTCTGTGCATTTGTGTTTAAGCCGCTTTAATCAAAAGTTGTAAGAGGAAAGATCACAAAAAAACGTGAATCAATATAGGTCAGATGGTTAATTTACATATATTATTTTACAGTGTGATCTAGTCCCAATAAAACTCCCTGTTGTTTGTGTCTGACTAGATTGTGGAACGTTAATAAACTCTCCCGGTCCGCCGTTGTCCGATCAGCTGGTCACTTTGGGTCATCCCGGTGCGGATCAGAATCAGACCCAACTTCAGACTAATGCACAGATTCAGACCTTACTGGATCCGTCTAGCAACCTGGAGGACAAGATAGACCAACTTCTGGAGAGTTTTCAGGAGCAGGGAAAGTCGCTCCCACAGGATTTCTTGGACCATTAAAGCTAGGTAATCCGAAAGTAGACCACCGTCCACACCGCTTGCTAATGCTCCTTTCTCCATCTGGCATCTTGTGTGGGTATTATCCAACACTGGGGGTCGTCTAGAACTCTTCTATATCTGTTTCTGAACGCTTTTAGTGTGTTGGACGTCCTTTTCTTGATGGACGAATGAGGGTCCACTTTATATAATGTCAACATATCATGTGACCCACGAAGCCATTAAGTATATTGGCACTTTGCTAACTTTGTATTTGTGTTCTTGACTTCCACTTGAATCTTCTCCATTTATTACCATCGTTAATCTGTTTTCGTTAGAAGCCAACAATAGTAGAATATATGAAAAACACAAAAAAATAATCAAAAACTCTGTTGCCGTTGAGATACTAATACATTGTGAATGAATTTGAAATATATTTAGCACTTTAGGGGGTTTCCTGTCGGAGATTCCCTTTTAGCTTTGTAACCCATACGTGTCTAACATGGCCGTCGAAGCTTTTTTTTGATAGTCATGATGCTTTCTAAAAGAATAATGTGTTTTTTTTTTTGTGTTTCATTATTCTCTTTTATGAATATAGTCTATTTTATGAGCCATGTTTTTCTTTTGTTATGTGTTTATCCAGTTTCAGCATAAGTCGCGATGCTCTATGTTAGTCACTCCTCCTGTTTTTAGTTTTATTTAATTTTATTTAAGAGGTCCAACTTGTAGGCAGGGATGAGAATTTGTGCAACGTTGCCGATGAGATCTGTGAACAGATTGTATTCTCCTCCAGCAGAGCGTCTTCGGTGCGTGCGCGTTCGGCAGAATTACACAGAGCACATGGCTGTTTGTACTATATGAGATGCAGCTACAGTCTTGAATTGTATGTGGTTTGTGGAGGTTTATTCAAATAAGCACAAGCTCTGGAAGATGATTGGTTGTGGTGGAAATGCAAGGGATTGTTCACCCAGATCATTATTTACTCATGCTTACGTCTTTCTAAACTGAACACAAACTGCAAATGTTTTAATTTCTGATATTCGAGAGGTTGGATAGTTTACCGGTACTTATCGTGATACTATGGCTCAAATAATGCCGATGCCACTGTAGTTTGTATATGGTAGTATAGTGAATAACGGTCTATCTACAATACATAATGTTGCATGTGGGAAAGTCACTAAAATGCTCACACGTTTGTGCAACAAACTATTTCATTTGAATAGTCTGTGGAGCCTTTTAAGGTTGCAAAACTGTAGAATTTACGCCTTTTATGGTAGCCTGAATCAGTTCATTTCTGTTCCTGTCAATATGGTTTAGTAGCTACAACAACCACAACAATCTCCTAAAAAGAGCGACTCACAAAGTGACATTTTTAATTATCTTGGATTCTTACCTGATTAGACTGAAAAAAAAAACAATAGATAAAAAACCCAAAATAGCAACAGGAAGCGTTTTTTTTTTTTTTTTTGCTGCTTTTCATTTGGTATAATTTTTATCTGTATTTTAATGTTTTTTGCCGGTTAGTTATATTTAAAACAGGAGCAAATGCATTTGATGAATGAAGTGACGAGCAAAAATAATTTTTTTTTTTTTTTAATAACAAGGAAATTATTATTTACATTCAAGTAGGCCTATAATAATAATAATAATAATAATAATAATGGCATAATAATAATGGGCACCTTTCAAAGCACTCAAGGACACCTTACAGCAGATCACTTTAACATAACACATATTAACACAACATTTAAAATATAGTATTTCTGACAATTTTTATAATTTCATAAATTTGAGTTATGAATAACAGTATTGCAATACAACTTGATTTCACGATACTTCAACAGGTATAGTATGGTAACATGAATTAGTAATATATTGACAACCCTACTGGATAGCTACCTGGGCATAAGGTGGACAGATGTAAACACATTCGAGAGATGAAAGCTGGACAGATCTAAATGCATTTTTCAGACCGTCCAGGATTTTGTGATTTTATGAATTTAATGCAAATGCAAGCAGACGTTGCAAAATTTTGTGGAGCTTGCAAATGGTTTTAATTGCAATAGATTTTCTGCATATTTTTGGTGGTCGGGACCAGTGTTGGGAGTAATGCATTACAATAATAATAATATAATTTACCATTTTTTAAGTAACAAGTCAAGTAATACAATTTGAGTTAATAAATAAATAAATAAATAAATATATATGTATGTATGTATGTATGTATGTATGTATGTATGTATGTATGTATGTATGTATGTATGTATGTATGTATGTATGTATGTATGTATGTATGTATGTATGTATGTATGTATGTATGTATGTATGTATGTATGTATGTATGTATGTATGTATGTATGTATATATATATATATATATATATATATATATATTATACAGTTGAAGCCAGAATTATTCGGCCTCCAGTTTTAAGAGAGCAGATTTCTTCAGCACATTTGTAATCATAATAGATTTTAAACTCTCTTTGTCATGATGATGGTAAATAATATTAGTCTAGATATTCTTCAAGACACTTCTATACAGCTTAAAGTGACATTTAAAGGCTTCACTAGGGTAATTAGGGTAACTAGGCAGGCTAGGGTAATTAGGCAAGTTATTGTAAAATGATGGTTTGTTCTGGAGATAATCGAATAAAAGGGGCTAATAATTTTGTCCTTAAAATTTAAAAAAATTAATAACTGCTTTTATTCTAGCCAAAATAAAACAAATAAAACTTTCTCCAGAGGAAAACAATATTATCAGACACACTGTGAAAATTTCCTTGCTCTGTTAAACATATTTTAGGAAATATTAATAAAAATTAAAACAAATTCAATAGGGGCGAATAATTCTGACTTCAACTGTATATGACAGAGATGATTGGTTTTTGAGGTCAAAGCATGTATAAAGTATGAAAAAAATATGTAAATTTGTGCACATTTCACACCAAAACAACGAACGACAGGCCTGAAAAGAAAAGAAAAATCCTGCATGGACTGTTTTTCTTTATTTTTTCTCACCCAAATAAAACTCCTCATGCAGTTTCCGTCTGTAAACACGGCTACGAATATAGCTTCTCTTATATAATTATATATAATAGCTTCTCTTATATAATTCTCTTGTAATAATAATGCAAATATTCAACAAAACAATAGTCCAGATTTTTGCGACATGAGCATCGAGTAAATAATGACAGGGTGTTTATTGCTGATCACAGCTATTGGGTGTTTTCAGGCAGCTTAACGTGGCTTTTAGGTCCATGAGGGTTTAAGAAGGGATTGGTTTGTTTTTGTTACAGTAAACCGCATCTATGATGAGTTATTTAAGGATGAAATCCTACGTTTATAAAGCAAGCTATGATGAAGAATCCCATCCCTGCGAGACAAAGCTCGGCAAAACTGGAAGATTTCTCGTCATCAGCATGAAGAAACGAACTCGTACAGGGTTTTTACATTGTTAGAATTAATACTAAAGGCTTGTTTACATCCGTCTTTACTATTCCTAATGGTTTGATCTGTCTATTATTTGTGTTGTGATCACATTTTGGAGTCATCACCTTCATCGTGACGTTAAATCACTTTTATTTGTCGTCTTACTCAAACACACGCAGTCTGTTAAAGAAAATAAACGACTTTTTCAGTGTACTCTAAGAAGCAGCTTTTGCATTGACAAACATAATGTGAGGTAGTTGTATCTGCAATTATTTTTACATCATACCTTTTCTTGCCTTTTTAAAAAAAAAAAAAAAACGATCTGCTTTATTGTGAAATTTGCATAACGAATTGTAAATAGTAGATCAGCTGTTTTACGTGTGCTGTTCCTTTGTGAGGTAGCAGTTTGTTAAAAGCGTGCTCTCTTTGTAGTAAAAGCATACTAATCTCGCCCGCCGGTGAGGCGTACATACAGTATTTTTGTAAGACTGAATTTCCAAATGTACCGTGTACATTTTACAAGTGAATCGTCCCTTCTGCAGTACTGTACTTCACATGTGGATATTCGGAGAGCGCTGAAACTGATGGCTTTTGTCCCCATCACTGTGTTACAATATGGAGATTGTTATTTGTTTGGTAAGTGAAATTGTCAATTTGTTCGCAAAAGAAGCTGGTTATTGGGTGTGGCTGAATCTCACGCACGACTGTACGTTTATTTGTGTCCTATTTAGTGTTGTCACGATACTGAAATTTAGTCCATTGAAAGTGTCCATTTCCCTCTGATTTACCATTGTATTCACGTGCTCAACAGAAATGACTGTGATTTGCTGTGATGGTCACCAAACTCACCGCTATTTACTGAGTGTAAACACAGATACAGGGACACCGGAGCATTTTAAAGCCGCGATTGCTCAGTGGATGGCTCGTATGGCAGCTTATAGACAAACCAGCTGATTTACGTGACTTTAAAACACTCCAGTGTCGCTGTGTCTGCGGTTACACTCCGTGAGTTCGGTGAACTGATGAGCCAATCACAGTCATTGCTGTTGAGCACTGGTGAATACAATGGCAAATATGCGCTGTTTAAGAACGCGCTCAAATGTTATCGGTAAATAGACGCTTTTAACATATCAGATTGGTATCGAGTTCTAGTATCATGACAACACTGGTCATATTGCACTCCAAAATCAAAAGACAGTAGATTGATTATTGTCATTTATAGTAATTATTAGAAAAGGCTGTGTAGAGTTTTACAGCCAAACAAGCTAACAAAAAGGCTTTCTCCTGAATAAATAATATAATATAATAGGAAATACTGTGAATGATGAGAAATATTTGAAAAATGAATTAATATTTAACGTGCGGGCGAATAATTGCAAATTTACGAAATACTCATTGGCACAGCACTGCAAACATGCTTTTGTTAATCTGTCTTGTTTCTAGTCCAAATATCTAAACTGTTGAATCGTCAAGCATTCTCTAGACAAGCTAAACATATAGTCTTGTTTTCAGAAAAATGTGAAAATCAAGTGTTTTCCTTAAAAACAAAGAAAGCTGAATGTTCTGCCGGTGTGGCAGGCAAAATAATCTCATTTCAATGTTTTGCTCACCCCATTCATTTTGTTTCATTATTTCTGACAACAAGACAATATTTTAACTCGTCTACAAAATACTTCTTAGGAGTGTGTATATATTTGGACGAGACACAAACTCATTAAATCTGTTTAAATCAACACACATTTAATACTACAAATGAATTCTTTTGGTTTTGGTGTTGGAATGTGATCTGTTTATATCTTTGTGAGATAAATATATATCTATAGTTGTGTGTGTGTCTGCAGGCTTCCATTTAAAGCCATAAAGAGTACAAATGTGTGTGTTTTACCTCATGATTCACACTACATCCAACCTAAGGACCAACTCAAGACCACACTTTATAAAACCAGGCAGCAAAATCAGCGTCTTTTCAGTCGGCAATCATCTGTGTTTTTGGGTTTTATTTAAATTTATTTAATTTTATATTTTATTATTTTTATTGTTTTTTTATTTTATTTAGTTAATTTTAATTTTATTTACTTTTATAAAGTTTTTATTGTTTATTTACTTTTTTAATTTAATTTTTGTTTTTTTTCCAGTATTTATTTTATTTTAATTTAATTTAAATGTTATATTTTTATTTAATTTTTATTTTATACATTTTTTTATTTTACATTTTATTTTATTTTACTTATTTTTTTTCATTTTAATTTATTAGAATTTTTATTATATAATTTAATTGATATTTTTTATTGTCTTTTTTCTTTATTTTCTTTCATTATTTTTGAATTTTACATTTTTATTTTTATTTTTAATTTTATTATTTTAATTTTATTTATTCATTTTTTATTTTAATTTAAATTGATTTCTTTATTTTATATTTTATATATTTTTTTTAATTAATTAATTTTTTTTTTTTTTTACAACTTTTTTGTTTGTTTTTATTTTTATTTTTTTCAGTTTTTTAATTTAATTACTTTTTTTTCTGGTACCGATGCTCCAG